GGCAATTTCCTTTCTTTTTGATTTTTAAAGAAATCTGTATATGGACAGAGGGGCTAGGAGTTGGAGCAAGGAGTGGCTTTATGGGGACAGGAGGAGGACAGCAGAGAGCAATGTGCTCGGGGCTGAGGCCTGGCTCACCAGCACGAGGACTTTCTTTTTAATTTGCAAAGCTGAAGATGCCCTTTCAGAACAAAGTCCCCGTCTATGATTCCGAGATAAACTGTGGAGACGTCAGAGCTGGAAATGGTGGTTGATGGAAACTAATCCAATCCCATCCCCTGGTGTTCTTTGTACGGTAAATGAAGCTCAGAGCAGTTAGGTCGTTTTCCCAAAGTCAGCTCAACTCTGTAAAGCACATTAAAGACCTAAGTCCCAGAACTGATGGAAAAGTAGGAAGGCAGGTCACCGCGCAGACCAGATGTGGATTATCTCCTTGGCCCCTTCTATCCTATGTGTTTCTGTCAACGTCAATGAATGGCTTCTTCCTGAAGTTAGGTAAAAACCAGCACTTTGCTGGTGCTGCAGAGAGCAATAAGGCAAGGAAATGAGAAGAACAGGTGAGAGAAGGAACAACCTGCAGGTGAGGGGAAAAGCAGAGAGCAGAAGTTCTCCGTCAAACACCAACCTGCCTGGCAGCGAGAAAGAGAGAGGGGTATGGAGAGAAGGTGAGGCTAAGGAGGATAGCGGGAGTGGAGTTGAGCAAACCAGTCAAAGGGAGAGTTGGAGATTCAGAAATAACACCCAACAATACAGGCATTTGGACCACTAAGGACCAAAAAGAAACTCCAGCTCCACCCTCAGGGCAACATCAATTCATCCACTAAATGTTTGTTGAGTGTCTTAAAGACTGAGCAACATACTATCCAAGTCAGCCTAGGATCTGTGCTCTTGGAGCTCAGAGTGAAATGAAGGCTGCAGACTTTAAACATACAGCTATTTAGTAACTAGGGTAGAAGGTTCTGGAAAGGAAGCATGAAGGAGTGCTCTGACAGAGCAAGGCACATGGAAAAGGGACCTGGGGAGGCTTTCTGGGGGAGGTGACATTTAAGAGGAACTTACTGTATATGTGGATGGTAGTCAGGTGGCATAAGGTAAGAAGTGTCTCAAGCAAAGGGAAAATCCCCAGAAAAACCCTGAGTACAAGGGACTCAGCTCACCGGAGAGTCAGTCAGGGAGAGAAGGGGAAGGGGGCTGGCACACTGACCTCAAACAGTGGAAACTCACTGAAGGTGGGATCAGATTTGAGCATTTCAAAACCACTCCAGCTGCAGGAGAGAGAAGAGATTTGGAGCATGCATGAGAGAACGAGCGAGACAAATAGAAACTCTACTTTGGTCACCCTAGTGGAAGGAGGTGGGGGCGCGCTCTGAGACAGGGAACACCAGAAAAGGTTTAAGCTGGCAGGCACGAGCACAGTCGGAGGTACATTCGATGTGACAGGCGAGGCCACTAAGGAGCAGCCAGGGCCACGAACTTGGGTGTCCTCGGCCTGTGGATAATACATGGAAAACAGAGATATGGGGGACAATGAAATGGAGTAGAAAGAGCACATCCCTGCTGGTCATAGGGTTGTTCCGTGCCTGGGGCGGGAGGTGGAGAGAGACTAAAAAGGGGTAATGTCTTTGTCTCTTTTCTGTTGCTATAGCAAGTCACCAAGGCCAAGGATGCTGGTGCTGGGTGTCGCAATGGTAGAAACTAATAAATGTCCAGGAGGATTTCACAGAATGGCTTCAGACGTCTCTTCCCTGGCCATCCCACCCAGGTCCACAATGGTTAAACACATCTGAAAAGACCAAGGCAGTGAAAGTCTAGCTGAATAGTGACCTGTGCCCTCAGGATATGTGCACTTCCCGGTATGTGTGTTTCAGAACAATAAAAACACAAAAACAAACCCCCAAACCTCCCCAGGCTCGTGAGGAATTATTCCTACCCAAGATTCCTATACCTTCTGAATAAATTAAAGCAGCTATTTTCTGGTGACTTTATACTGTTATGAATCATTGATTTACAAACTATTTATCGGGTACCTACTGTGTGCCAAGTACTGTTCTAAGCAGCTAGAATATCTCAGTGAACAAAAGACAAAGGTACCTGCCACTGAAGATTTTATATCCTAGAAGAACAGACAGACCATAAACAATAAATAGGCTAGATAACATAGTGAGGGTGATGGGTGCCACAGAGAAAGAAGAAATAGAATGAGGCTTAGAAGTGCCAGTCAGGAAGGGGAGAGAATGTCCATCAAATATCACACAGAGAGGTCAGGGTTGGTATCACTGAGATAGAAACATTCAATGAAGCCAGGACTCATGTAATGACTGGAGCTCTCCTCCCTCCTTGCAGAGGCAAAGCACAGCAGAAAAGCCCAGGAGCAGAAGGAAGATCCCATCCACAAGATTTACAGTGAACTCATCAACAGAACTGAGCACACAACTCAGGAAGGGTGACCAGAAAGCGCTCCAAGAGGTGAGCCTGACTTTGCAACTGAACACACACAGCAAGTCTCTGCAGGTCAGGGTTGTGAGTAGCCTTACCCCAAGTGAAAAACACAATGTATGACCAAGTAAAAACACTTTACAATGGTTCTAAGCCCCAAATGGCAGAAACCCACAAAGCAGACAAAAAAGATAATAGCAAAATCAACCTCTGAACCACATCCAAGCATAATGATGAAGGAAGAAGAAGGTGCTTCTCATGACTAAATGGGTATGTAGGTGTGTGATAGAAAAGAAGAGCTCCTTCCTTCCCCAAACCTCATTCTCATTCTCTTTTTTGGCTGTTTCTTGCAGATATGAGAAGGGAGATTTCACTTCCAAGGATAAGTCAACTCCTCTGAATGGATTTCTGTCTCCAACCATGTCAGTTCCATTCCTGGCCAGTATCAGAGCTGTCCTGAATGTTCTGACTCGTACCATGGGGAAGAGAAGAAATGCTGGAAGACTAGGGATAGGGAAATACAGTGCAAGATTGCCAGGAGAAGGGGTGTAAAGTAGAGAGATGGAAGGAACTGACTTCTTCCAGATGTGAATCATCTGCTCATCTTCTACCTGGGCCCCCTCCTCTAGGCCTTGTGTCATCTGCAGGCCTAGTGAACTGGGAGTTTGCCTTCCTAACACCTAAAAAGCAAATGCATTGGTCAGGAGTCCTACTCATAGATAACAGTGTTTAAGAAGAAAACAATTGATTACAGGATCAAAATAGCACACTAAATCATTGAGGACTGGAGAATAGGACCAGCCAGTGCCACCCCACAGAACTGACCCAGCATGGAAGGGGCTGCTGCTCATGGACCATCTTGTGACTTACTGCTTGCCAAAACAGTGTCTTACAGTGCACCTCCCAGCAGGTGCTGGAAGCACAAAGCCCTCAGGAGCCAGGAATGTCTCCCTGGTACTGCGCCTCTCCACCCCAGAGGAGATTCTGTGGGTATCAGACAATGTCATTCAGAACGTTTTGGGTTCAGAGCATGAGTATGACTTACTCTTAAATGCACTGAGTCAAGGAAAAAAAGTTTAAAATAGTGCCACATTGGTCTGGTCATGTTGACCACAGCAGCACACATACTGAAGACACAGAGGGAAAATAACCAAGCCTGAGACAAACATGCAGCCTTGGAAATGAAGACCCCATGAGAAGCCAGCCTCTTCCCAGGGATGGACCTGGATAGGAATGGGCTTCTGGTTGGGGCAGGGAGAGACATTCAATGAAGTCTAAGATGAGGCTATGATTGATGTCATCCTTTTGTTGGGTTGATGTCCTAAAACCCAGGAGAACCCCTACAATTTCTCACTTCCTTCCCAGTGCAGTCACCAGCTTCCTCACCCACTCACTCAGCCACATGGACCCAGGGTGAGGCTGCACAGACCCTGCCTGGGGCAGGGATAGCGTGGGGTTCTCACATCTGGAGGAGAAGGAGAGACAGAAAGGCAGATGGGGGCTGCTGTCACCTCACCATTCTGAACCCACTTTCCTACTTTCATGTTGCTAATTGGCCCATGGCCAGGTCAGGGAGAATGAGGACAGCTTCCCCACACCCCAACCTGACTGGTTCTGACTGCCTGGAGGCTCTCGTGACCTGATCCTGGGTCCTCCCAGGGAGAGATATGGTCCCCTCCTCCTCTGGTCCCCTCACAGACCTTACCGCACCCTGGGCTACCTTCATCTATTCCATTCCCTCTCCTTAGGGAATTGAGTGCTCCTGTACCCACACGAGCTCAGCCCTCCTCACCTTGGCCATCGTACACCCAATAAGCCCACTGAGGAGAAATGTTACCGCAGACCTAGTCTTCACTGACAAGAATTAAAAATTCTTACCAACTTCTCTGAAAGAGAAATGGCCCTTACATTAATCAACATCCATTAATATGTTTTAGCATCTTAATTAATTGCCCTACAAATGCAACGCCTCATTTCTAATGAAAACATTATACATTTCTCACCTTATCTGATGGTGGTAAAACTTCAAAACTCATATGAATTAGCCTAGCAACTGGCTTATTTACAGTCGACTTAAATAAAATTCCCATCTATTTACCGTTTAAGATGGTGGCATTTCACAGCAATTTTAAAGTACAAATCCCCTAAGCACTTTCACCCTATGACGTGTGATGGGACAATTTCTGTACAGTAATAAGGATACTCATGTATTGCTGTTCAGCATACTGCCATTAGAGGGCACTAGAAGCAAATGTAAACATGTCTTGTTGCCAGTTGGCAGTGCCTGGGCAGGAAACAAAATAATTGTGTATCAGCCAGTCCTCCCAACAACCCCAGGAAGGAAGGTTGCTACTCCCACTTTATGGAGAGGAAATGGAATTTGGCTGTGTATGCCAGGAACCAAGGATTCATGAATTAATATTCAGTGACAGTGCATGGTGAGCAACACTTTCTCCCTGTGCATTCTCCAATCCCCAAAGCCCTTCTACCAAAGGAAGGAACGACTTTGTTTTCTTCCCCTGTATATCTATGAGCGATAAAGAAGGTCCAGTTATACCACAGTCAGGACGCTTCCAGACAGAACATCCAGCCAGAACCGCAGAAGGGTCACAGAAGAGAATAGTCTTCGTGGTCTAGGGATCCCCAGGCAGCCGCTTGACACATTTCTCAGCCTTCCATAGAAAAGAACAAGCAGCCATTTCCAGAAGCTCCCCAAGCCTTTTCTCTTTCCCCACTCTGGCCTGTAATGACCCCTCAAAAGCCACATGAAGCCCAATGAGATGCACCTCCTTGTGCCAATGGTCCTCCCCGCCCAGTACCAACGACCAAGGCTTCTGTGTGAGTCCCCTCCTGCAACCATTCTAGATATGGCCATATTTTTCCTTTCCACCCACTTACTTTTAACTGACCCGTGTCTTAATATTTAAAGTGTGTCTTCTGTAAAAAACGCTGAATCTTGCTTTTTATGCAGTCTGGCAATCTACCTTAAATGTGAGAAGCTTGGCAGCACAACTCTCCCTTGGAACTGCTGTCATCTTCTGATTATGTCCTGTGCGGGGAGGGTGGGGAGCATTGTTTCAGAGACTTTAGGTTCACCTCTCACAGGACTCCAGACCACAGGAACGTGTGAGGGTGCTGTATTCAGACCCTCTCTATATCACTTTCTCTATATCACTTTCCCAGCAAAATCCAGGGAAGGGAGAGAGTTGTGGGGCTGCGAGATGAGGTTTTGCATTTGGAACTTCCAGATACAATCTGATCTCCCAGTCTGCATATAGCCTCCTCTCTGTGGGTGGCCTGCTGCTCTTCCTCCCTGGGCCTGTTCAGACACCTGCCCCAAAGAGCTCAGAGACCTCTGCTTGTCTGGGGAGGGCATGACCTGTCCTACTCAGTTCATTGGAGCGTCCTCTCTTCCCATCTTTGAAAGACCAGGAAATGGATATTATTATTGTATTTGATAGAGTTCATTCTCATTATCATTGTGGGGTAAAGTGTTCACATCTTCCTACATTCTAACCAGAAGTAGCCAAGCCTTTGGCCTTTGAAGCCATCCATACTTTTGCTTTTCTTATACACAGCCAAGAATGTCTGGGTTTCTGACACAGGAATCTCAAGCACAATGTGTACTGAAGCAACCGTGGGCCGCTGCTGTCAGAAGCAATTATCTGGCCAGCGCAGGTGAGATTTTTTGTTTTTGCTTTTTGGTGGGACAGGGGTTTAAACTCAGGACTTCAAGCTTGCAAAGCAGGTGCTCTACCAGTTGAGCCACACCTCCAGTCCATTTTGCTCTGGTTGTGTTTGAGATAGGATCCCATGAGCTATTTGTCCAGGCTGGCCTCCAATAGTGACTCTTCTGATCTCAGCCTCCCAAGTAACTGGATTACAGGCATGAACCACTGGTGTCTTGCTCAGCACAGGTTTTTTAAATTGAGTTTGAGGACTGGAAGTGTGATTCAAGAGGTAGAGCACCTGCTTTGTAAGCATGAAGCCCTGAGTTCAAACCCCAGACCCACAAAAGCAAAACAAAATGAACAAGCAAAAAATAAAGTTGACTTTGAAAGCATTCATACTAAGTCCAAGATCTCTGCTTTGTTGGCAATGCTCTATGCTTCCATTATTATTATCCACTGAATTCACATATTGAAACTTCCTGTAGCCCTTATTGACTTTTGAGGTGAGACTCCTATACTCAGTGAAAATTGAGAAACTGCATTTTACCTAACAATCATGTCTACTCAGTAAGATATATACATGAGGGTAATTTCTCTGCTTTCTAGCCAGATATTTTGCAACTCATGGCAAAGTTTTGATAAGCTTATTCATTTATTTGTATCTCAGTTTCTATACATAAAGCCATTTTCTATTAAAGTGAGATGACATGGTTCAGTAATACAGGGTTATCTCATCTTCCTGACCCAGCAGGTGGATCTTATAGTTCACCTTCAGAGATTCTAAAGAACCCAGCACAACACAAAGCAACTTACAAATCTAGGTGTCATTTTGATCTCCACGTAGCCACAAAAACTTCTGGTTCATAGAACGTTCTCTCAGCATTGGTGTACACAGAGCCCTCAAGACCAGTCAGCATGAAAAGCATCTCCCACTCTCCACCTGAGGAAAGGGGCGCAGAGGGATGTGAGGAGTGGCTGACCTTTAGCATCTCTGTACAACACAGGGATCAATGGATGCATCCTCAGAAATATGCCGTGGAAATAACTTGAGCTATTCAGGCAGGCATTAAGGACCACAGAGGACACAACTGTGCCTATAGAAGTCAGATCTCCAAACCTAACCTCAGAATTGTCCTTCAAATTGTCCTTCACTCAATCAAAACCCAAACAATAGTTCACCAAGAAAAACCCAGCCAGCTCCCATACAATTGACAAAGACAGATGCGCTGCACACACAAGAGACCATTAAGCAGAAACCAAATAGGGCTTCCATTTCCTCTGGGCTTGCACCAGGGAAGAAAGTAAGGAAGTCTGCAGAAGAACAAAGAACAAGATGGTACAATTCTTGGTTTTCCATTTTATTTTTTACTTTGAAACAATTGTTGATTGAGATATAGTTGTAAGAAATGATAGAGATCCTGTGTGCTTGCATAACTATCGCACAATATCGCCAGCCTGACAGACATGCATCAAGTCCCTGGGGAGTGCTAGGATTACACCCCAATGTTGCCATTGAACCACTCGTTGATTTTACCTCACGTTTGCATGCACTCAGTTGTGTAGGCATATGCATGTGTAGTTCTATAGTTTATTCATGTCCAGACTATACAACATTTCTATCAGAAGTAGTCATGCAATTTTATAGCCACAACCATTATCTTCACAACCTCCCCGCCAAACTGGCAAGATATTCTCTGCCTTCATAGTTTGTCACGTCAATAACGTTATATAAATGGAGTCATACAGTATATAACAGGTTGAGATTGACATGTTTACTCAGCATAATTCCCTCGGGATCCACCCAAGTTGTTTGCTTTTATTGCTGAGCAATATTCCATGCTTTCTTTAAAAAAAAAATAGAGGCATCATTTACTTCTAATTCCAGAAATTGGTTGACATTATTAATGTCAACTCCATTCTTATCAATGTTAGATATAATAATGAACAAATGAAAAGGCAAAGAAGCCAGCATCCAGTGAACACATTCTCGCAGCTTGCATTTTTCTAACTAATTTTCTGGCACTTGTTTTTATATATATATATATATATATATATATATAATGTAGCTTTCAAGACAACTTCTTCCTCTGCTGAAGAATCATGTTAAGAATTTAGTTAATCATGGTTAACTAAAAACTCAAAGTTTTTTTTAACAACCCTTCTGGTTATGGAGTAGATAAACTTCTCCATCAGTTCTTCCTCCTACTTACTGTGAAAACCCTCGGATATAATATATGAAACATAAAAGACTGAAATGTGGAGAGGAGAAGGCAGCCTGAAATAAGGACCTAGGACGTAGGAATAATGAGGTCATAAGCTCTCTGGGTTTTGGTTTCTTTTGTGGCACACTGGTGCTGGAAAAGCTGGCAACCCAGAAATATCAACAGGCACAGACTAAAAAAACCTCAAGAAAAGCCTCTCTATCCAAAGGAGCAGGAAAAGCCAGTGAAACAAGCAGAAAGCTTTTGTCTATAATCAAACATTTTTTATTTTGCCTGTAACTTTTTCAAGTAATCATCTCTAAACTAGTCAAACAACATGAAGTAGAAATACCATCCAGCTCCACACTTGTTAGCAAAGTCTGAGTGGAGAATTGAGACTTCAACCTTCTCTTGGTGGTAACAAGGCCACCTGACCCGCCACCCTAACCTGCGTGGTGTTAGCCAAGGCCAAGAGAGACCCAGGACCCCATCCACATTCAGCAATAATGAAGCATACCCCTTTCCCTGCAGTGTTGGTGAAAACTACATGGAGATCCTGGGCTCTCACCCCCCACCTAGCAGTAATGGTCGTCCCTTCACAGGCTAGGTGCCAACAGAGCCAAGTGAGGAACTGGGACTTCTGTGCTATCTGGAAAATCTGATTCAACATTCAAAAATTAATATATGCAATCCACCATATCAATAGGCTGAAGAAGAAATATCATGTGCTCACATCAACTGATACAGAGAAAAGCATTTGACAAAACCTGATATTCATCCATGATATATACAAATAACCCTCTCTGAAAATGAAGACTAGAGAATTTTGTCAACATCACAAAAAGCATTTACAGGACTGAGAGCGTGGCAGAGGGAGAGAGAAAGAGAAGAGACAGGAGAGAGGAGGAAGAGATGAGAGAGGAGAGAGGAGAAAGAGGAAAAGAGAAAAGAGAAAGAGAGGAGAGAGAGAATGAGAGAAAGAAAAAGAGAAGGAAGGAAGGAAGGAAGAAAGGAAGGGAGGAAGGGAGGGAGGGAGGGAGGTTAGGAGGGAGGAAGGACTGCTTTTCTGCTGATATCTTCTCAGCTAAGATTCAGTTCATTAAATAAGATTTCTTGACTGGGGGGCATGGCTCAGGTGGTACAGAAGTTCCTAGCAAATGTGAAGCCCTGAGTTCAAACCCCACCAAAGAAAATCATTTATAAAAACCCCACAACTAATATACTTAATGTTGGAAGACTGAATTTTTTCCTCTTAAGATTGAGAACTGGCAAAGATATTCACTCTTAACACATTTATTAAACAAAGCGATGGAATTCTAGCCAGCACAATAAAGCAAGAAAAGTAAATAAAAGGCATACAGTGTGGAAAGGAAGAAATAAAGTTGACCCTATATATAAATAATTGTCTATATAAGAAATTTTCCAGTAATCTGTATAAAAACTCCTAGAACTAAAAGTGAATTCACCAACTTTACAACACAAAAATCAATAGCACTTTTATATACTAACAATGAACATATAGAGACTGAACAATACTACTTAAAATCACCCCAAAGAAAATGAAAAACAGGCAAAAATCAAACAAAACATATACAGGATCTCAAAACTGAAAACTAAAGAATATTGAAAAAAGAAATCAAAGTCCTAAAGAGACATACCATATAGATGAATTGGAATAGTCAACATAGTAAAGATGTTAGTTATCTCCAAACTGATCTATGTACTGAATACATTGCCTGTCAAAATCCAAGCAAAGAGTTTTTATAGGCATAAATAAGTTTATTCTTAAATTTATATTGGGCTAGGGTTGTATCTCAGTGGTACAATGTTTGGCTAACAGGTATAAGGCCCTGGGTTCAATCCCTAGCACCACAATAAAAAAAAAAGTGAGCAAATAAACAAATAATATAGGCAGACACATGGCCTATAACAATTTAAACAAGTGTGAAAATTAAGAAAGTGAGAGGAATTAGCTCTACCCAATACTCAGCTTATCATACCATGACCATGTGGTGTGGTAGAAGGGCAGACACACAGATGAATGAGACATAATGCAGAACTCAGAAAAAAAAGACTTTTGAGAAAAGTGCAAAAAAATCTCAATCAAGTAAGGATAGCCTTTTGAACAAATTGTGCTGGCACAAAAAAAGAAACTCTACCTAAACTTCATACCTCACACAAACCTCACACAATTAACTCAATGTAAATCATGGCCTTAAATGTAAATTGAAAACTAAAACTTTTAGAAAACACACATAGAAGAAATCTTGGGAACCTTAGGCTAGGCAAAGAGTTTTGGCATCCAAAACACATTTTAAAAAAGGAAACAATGAGCCACCCATGTTAGGTACATGTCTGTAATCTCAGCACTTGGGAGGCTAAAGCAGGAGGATCCTGCCTGGGATCTAGCCTGGGCTACATAAAGAGATCCTGTCTCAAAAAAGGAAAAAAGTTATAAACTGTATCTTATGAAAATTTTAAACTTTGGTTTTGTGAAAGATCTTATTAGGAAGATGAAAAGACAAGTTACAGACTAAGAGAAAATACTTATGAATCACATATCTGACAAAGGATTTGTATGTAGAATATATCAAAACCTCTCAAAACAACAGTAAAGAAGAAAACATGAACAGACATTTCACCCAAAAGGATGGTAAATGAACACATGGAAAAAATACTCAATAGCATTAGCTATTAGGAAAATACCAATTAAAATCACCATGAAATATGGGTCAGGTAGCAAATATGGGTCAAACACTAGACAAGAGAGAAAACAGGTCACTCATATACTGCTGGTGGGAATACACAATGGTGGCAGGACCACTTGAGAGCAGAATGTGGCAAGTTCTTCAAAAACAAATATGCATTTCTATAGCTTGGATCTGCATTATCCCCCAGGTGTCCAAGGTGTTACTGGAAGGGAGTGGAACCTCTAAGAGGTAAGGCCTAGTGGGAGGTGTTTGGTCATTGGGGTGTGCCATTAAAGGGAATTCTGAAAGGAATTGCGATCTCTACTCTTTTTTTGCTTGCCCACAACCATAAAGGTGAACAGCTTGCTCCTCTGTACACTGCTGCCATAATGTATTGCTCTGTCATAACAACAAAGTCAACCATGGACTGAAATCTCTAAAACTGTGAGCCAAAATAAACCTTCCCCAGGACCTCCTGCACAAAAGGCAAGAACTCTACAATTAAGCTACACTCCCAGCTCCATTTGTTCTTTTAAAATTATCTCAGCTGTTTTGTTACAGTAACAGAAAGCTGACTAACACATGTACTTGCCATATGACCTTGTAGTACTACTAAGCAATAAAAAGGAATTAATTATTGATTCATGCAATAGCTTAAATGGATCTCAGGGAACTCTGCCGAATGGAAAATGTCGATGTCAGAAGATTATATACTGCCTGGTTCCAATTACATAAGAGTCTTAAAAAAAACAAAATTATAGAGTTGGAGAAGAGATTAGTGATAGGATGTGATTAAAGGAGAAACATGAGGGCTCCTCACATAATAGAATAGAATATAGAATAGAATTGTGCATATCTTGTTGGTAATCACACAAGAATACATGAGATAAAATTGTGCAGAACTAAATCTACATACATAAACCTAGGCATAAATCTAGTGAAATCGGAGTACAGTCAATGGATTATAACAATCTTAGTCTCCTGTGGTGATTTTGTACTCTAGTTATGCAGGTTATTGCCATTAGGGAAAATTTGATGAAGGGGGCTTTAAGACCTCTCTATATTGTTTCTTATAGTTGCATGTAAATCTTTGTATCATGAGTTTAAATTTTTAGCTGGTGCCAATGGCTCATGCCTATAATCCCAGATACTCAGTAGGCAGAGATCAGGAGGATCTTGGTTCAAAGCCAGCCCTGGGCAAATAGTTCAAGAGACCCTATCTTGAAAAATACCCAACACACAAAAGGACTGTTGGAATGACTCAGCAGGCAGCTCACCTGCCTAGCAAGTGTGAGGTCCTGAGTTCAAACCCCAGTACCTCCAAAAAAAAGTTTAAATTTTTTAAATTAAAATTAAAACTCTGAATACCAATATGAAGACAGTAAAATAAGCTGTATTAGTAACATTTCATTATGGATGAGGGATTGATCAACTCTTAATTTTGTATTTTCTCAGTTTTCTGATGTGTGGATGTATCATTTTCACTTGGAATCATTCATGGGAATGGATTAACCACACAGGAAGTGTCCAAATGGAGGTAATGTTGGGATAAGAGGAGGTCACTCTACTGTTCAGACTGGGACAGCAGCCCTGTCCCTTTGACAGCCATGGCCTTTTCCTTGGGTGACTTATATAAACTAGATAGCAGTTCCTGATGGAATGGTATGATGTCATCAGTGAGTCAGAACAAGGGCTCTGGAATCTTGTAAGCCTTTTGATTCCCAGCACTTGGCTACAACCAGTGCTCTTTTCCTAGCGTTGTGAATCTGTGCACTGGGTAAGTGTGAAAGACCTTTGAAGGTCTAGACCTCAAAAGAGCCACACAGGCGTTGACACAGAGTGGGCATCACCCACTCCTGCACTAGACTGAGTCTCAGAGCCTGAACTGAGTTCCTCCAGGGAGTCTAGGGCATGTGGAAGGGATCAACCCTGTCTTCAGGTGGAGGGAAGACTTCTTCAACAGGAGGGAAAGTGAACAAAAGGAGAATGAAGTGAGAGCAGAAGGAAGGCAGGTCAAGAGGAAATGGTCATCAGTGGCTGCCCTGAGGGTCTCAGGGGGCCCTGGGGAGAGTGTGATGGACCACCCTGGTCTTGATTGCCTATGAATTTACAGTAGTTCATAGAGAGATATAGATTGAGCTGATAACAAAGAAAATAAGCATCTAAAATCATCCAGCTTGACCCTACTGGAAACATGACTGAAGCTCATAGCCATTTTTCCCATTAGTATTCATCGGACACAAGTTCTCATCCCAAACCAAGGGACACACTTTTTCAATAAATTTAGTCATTGTTTTCCCATCTGTAAATTGGGCGAATTATAATCCTTACCTCATAGATTATAAATTCTAAGTGAGGTAATTCTTAGTGCACAGATCAACCCCTAAAGTTTAATAAGTCATCAATAACTGTTAGCTACTATTATTGCAATTTTAATTATTACATCACAAAAAGCAGGTTAAGCAGGAAGAAATAGCCTGGTTGGAATCAGGTTGGGTCTTTCACATCGTTTGGGACCTAGAGAAGAAAAGATTCCTTTGAGATCACATTAGCTGCCTCAGAGACTTCTCCAAACCATCAGAACTCAGCAAAGAAGGGTCAGAAGAAAAGGGTGCCTGTGGAAGGGAAGGCAGGTGTGTGTGGCCAGTGGCCTCTTTACCCCTGGTCTCCAGATAAATGAAGAATGACAGAACACCATGGCCCCAACCCTGTCTCTCTCTCCTCCCTCAACACGCCTGAGTCAGGTTCTTCAGGGGCACCACAAGGGGTGTCAGGTGAGCCAGGAGGTCACTCCCTTGTTCACTTTTATAGCTATGGGAGACAGAAGACTGGAGAATTCATTTGTCTCCATAGAGGGGTCATCCTCCAGAAAGAATGATCCAGAGAGCAGTCTTTGCCTAGCAAGGAAAGGTAAATAAGTAACCAATTTCTATCCTCCTTTGAAGGTAAATGCAAAGGGGATACGGACCTCTTTTTTGCCCTCAGATGTCACGTGCAAATTCCACAAGTTGAGTGAGAAAGGAGAAGCCTAGCAGTGTCCAGGTGTGTCCCTCCCTTGATCACACGGGATCTTCTCTCCCTGCAGCTCCAAAGAACAGCAGCCTGGTCTCCACTTCTGCCTCTTCTGAAGCTGCCCCTGAGCAGACAACCAGGAGGAAGAGGGGTCAGAAGACAAGGAAGACAAGGAAATTGGTAGATGAAAAGGCAGGTGTGTGTCCTCAGCCATCTCTCAGCCTCCTCGTTCCTGCAGGAAGGGCTGAGGACCCTGTTGAGTCACTGCTGAGTTACCACTTGTCACTTTGTCCTTTCAAGCAGGGTCTAATATTCAGTCAGCTGCCAGGAAGGGCCAGAAGTTCCCAGGTGGGGCACATGCTCACCTGAGGCTGTTCCCACAGCTACCCAGGAGAGCAGCCCTCTCACCTCCACTTCAGCCTTCTCAGAAGCTGTCTCAGAGCTGAAGTTCTGGAGGAGAAAGGGACAGAAGAGGAACATATGGACTGTGGATCATGTTGAGGGAACAAAACTCAGGATGAACAAGAGAAGAAGACCCAGTTACCGTCCTGAGGACCAAGAAGCCTTCTACCGACTTTTGGGTGGGTTCTCTGAGCTGGGGAAGTCCTGGGACCCTTCAAAACTGAGAAAAGGGGGGAGGGGAGGCACAGTGGCACAAACCTCTCTCCAGAGCTGAGAATCGTCCAGAGGGTACAGATGCAGCATGCCCCTGGTTCTATGGTAGTATGAGGAGTGTTTCCTTTCTGAGCTAAGTTCTTGGAAGGAAGGAAAAGAGGCTCACAGCTAAAGAACAATGGGCTGTTTCCCAGCCCACAGACCCAGTCATTGACTTCTACAAGTCATGATGTTAAAAACTGGTGATGTGGAATGGAGTGTGGTTCAAGTAGTAGAGTCCCTGCCTAGCAAGCAAAGGCCCTGAGTTCAAACCCCATACTGCCCTCTCTAAAAAAAAAAAAAAAATCTGGTGATAAAAGAACAAATGAGACCTTGCTGTCTTGACATTCCAAGAGAAAAAAAAAACCCAAACATACAGAAATTAGTGGATCTCAGCTAACAATAACTTTATAGGAGGAGCATTTCTGGTCATGGTACCTAGAGGTGGTATGAGAGCTTTAGGAAATGCTGCCTGAGGTGATGTCAGGCCCAGAGGTAGGACTGAGTATGTTGTCCCCAGGTTGGGGACAACACCAAGGACACACTGTCCAATACAGCATTCATTAGACACATGCAGCTATTTAATTTTAAAAGAATTAAATAAACTTTTAAAATTCATTTCGTCAGTCTTGCTAGCCACCTTTCCAGTATTCAATAGCCACATGTGACAGTGTAAGTATAGAACATTTTCTTCATCACAGAAAGTCTATCTTCTGGGGACCAGTAGACTGGAAAAGACACCTGCTATACAAGAGTCTTTGTCCTAGGCAAGGAGTGAAGGACACACAGGAATGGCATTCTCAGGTCTTTACTGGAAAATAGCACTTCCCGGGAACAACTCTAGTCACAGATGAGCTCCTGTGGAGGGGTCATGATAGCAGGGAGTGAGGAGATGCAGGACAGCAAGGGAGGGATACCAGTGGTCATGTGCCATGAACTCTCCATCTCTGTCCAGTCATCATATGGGGCAGGGGAGCTTGGCACAGTCACAACATGATGAAGTGACAGGCTGTGATGTCACAAAGACCTGAGGCCACAGTCAAGTTTTTGAGTTGAGGCAAATTTGCTAAACTTTGAGAACCAGGTCAAATCTCTTCAGTGAGCAAACTTATCACATCCCATCGTGACCATGTTGAGGATTGGACAATAACAGCAAAATTCAGGTACCACAGCTAAAAGTCAAGGTGTGTCTGTCAATAGAAAGAACAGCTGTTGTTCCTGATATTAAGGCTCAGACTTTCCTAGGGGATGTAGCTGCTTCCCTTCCATGGACAGTTCATGTGGAGAAGTTTGGGCACAGTTCTTTCCCTCTGAAGCTTCCCCAGGAGGGGAGCCCATGGCCACACACTCAGTTTCCCAGAAGGGAACTCTGGGCCCTCACTGTTCTTCTTTCCTTTGCAGAGGATCCTGTTATCCAGAGCTTCTTGGAAGCAGACATTTTCCTGAAGGTGTCTGATAAGGTACCTGAAGCACTAGAGGGGGAAGCCAAGGAGTCACAGTCAAGGGGTCCACATCATCATGGCTCCCCTGGGTACAGGCAGAGAGCTTGAGACTTCCAGAAGCCCTGGAAGGATCTGCTCTCAAGGCCAGAGGAAAGAAGGCCACATTGCCCATCCTTTCTTTGTCCCTGGTAATGCCTCCATGGCCTACCCACCAGCTCATGTCCACATGACAAAGGGGAGCAAGTCTCACCCTCAGCATCTTTGCTGTCATGGCCCTTGAACAGGGAAAAGTCCTATGGCCCATTTGGATCACTCCCTCCATCCACCATTCGAAACCCCTCATCCACCCTTTGTATCCTCACAGTACCTGCTGTCCATGGTGGTGGAGTACTTTGGCCGCGTCGGGCTGCCTGGACACCTCTACAACAGGATCCACTTCTTCCTGGCCCTGTGAGCACTTTCCCAGGGACCAGCTTTCAATCCACACAAGCCCCCAAATCCCAAGCTTCTATCACCCTCATCAGGGAAACTGGCCATGCCCATATGCTGAGAGGTTGTCCTCCTTGGCTATAGTGGAGATGACACCAGGAACCATGTGGTAGTAGGAGAAAGGATAAGGTCTTGAAATAATGAAAGTAGCCAGAAAACACTGTGAGCCACCCAGCAACCAAGCTACCTGAGGGAGGAAGTCCCCAGGAAATAACAGGAATTCCCTTGACTTGGGCTGGGCCCAGCACAGGTTCTCCAGGCTATATCAAGGATGTTCTGGGACCCTGTAGATCCTGCAGAGACGGCTTCCCCAGACCCTGCCTCTAGATAGGAGACACAGCTCCTCCATTGCGACCTTTCTCTTCTGAGGCTGGGATTTATGATTAGGGACATGCAGGCTTCCCCCTTTCCCTGTGACAGCTACATTGCTTCCGACATGGAAGAGGACAACCCCACATCCAAGAGAAGCATCTTCCAGTTCCTGTTGGGCAAGGAGCACTGGCCAGAGCTCTATAAGGAGTTCCTGAAGCTGAAGGTCGAGTTCTTTCATGCTATGGGGCACCGAGCCTGGGTCACTCCAGAGTTATGTGAGGAGGTCTGTAGGGGAAGACAGCCAGGGAAGCGGGGCTGGGGGGCAGAGGGGAGATAAGGGAATACCCAAAGATGGGTAGTAGGGTGAGTCCTATTCTCCAGGGCTCACCTCTGCATTTCTTTTTCAGATCCAGGCCCAGAATCCACACCACTGGGTCTGGAGCCGGGTGCGCCAGTGTGCCCCCTAGGTTCCCAGGGCCTGGGAACAACCAGTGGGGGCATGGAGTGGGGGCTGCAGGTGCTCAGGTGAGTGTAGGTCTTGGTGGAGGCTCTGTAGGCCCCCAATAGTTCCATCCTGTGTGTTCCAGAAGCCACCTCCTGGGCTAGGGGATATGGAAAAAAGATCTGCTGTATCCGGTCTTGAAATTTCTCCATGCACATGAGTATAGTGAGGGCTCTGAGCACTTCCATGGTAAAGGAAGTATTTCTATCACAATTCTCTGATTATATGATCATACAAGATCACAACATGCAGGTCACTTTTTTCTCCCAAGGGAAACTTTTGGAAATGCTTTTCTAAAGGAGTGCTGAGGAGGAGGGAGTTTTAACATGAAGGGGGTGGGGGGAGGAAATGGAGAGGGTACCAGGGAGGTAAAGAGGATCCAAGTTTGTTACATATATTTGTATGAAGATAGCACAAAGAAATCCATAAGGGCTGGCAGTGTGGCTCAAATGGTAGGGCCTGCCTAGCAAGCATGAGGCCCTTGCCAGGTACCCCAGTACCACCAAAGATTGTTTTTTAAAAAAAAAATTTTTTAAAAAAAGAGACCCTTGAGCTGGCGGAATGGCTCAAGTGGTAGAGCACCTGCCTAACAAGCATGAGACACTAAGTTCAAACCTCAATACTACCAAATAAAGAAAAGAAAACTCATCAATCCATCAGATATTTTTAAAGGGAGGGGGGAGAACTGAGAATATAATAGAGAGGGTGGGTGAACTTGCTCAAAATATACTGTATGTATATATGGAATTTTCAAGAGATGCCCCTGTCCTAAATTTAAAAAAAAAAAAAAGCTTTTCTAGATAACTTCTCCAGGGTTTTGATCTAAATTGAAAATTTTAAGTATAAATATATGAAAAACATTGAGGTCATCCTTCTGGAAAAGGAACTGTTAACCATGTGGCTTTGGGAGGGAAAAAGATAAGATTCTGTCATTTGCTCCAAGGTTTTGTGTGTTTTGCTCCTGAAAAGAAGTGCCACAGAGCTGAGCTTTGAAAGGATGTGTTCAGGGTCTTGTCTTTCATGGAAAGAAGGGAGCCCAAAGCTCTTTGGTCTCTGAAAAGAAAAGGAGAGAGAGAGAGAGAGAGAGATTCCTGGGAACAAGGGGAACAACTGAACATGTAGAACTGAGGAAGGACATAAAAGTTGGCAAATTCATAGAAAACAACCACCCAACAAACATCATGCTCGAAGACATGCTTTCCTTGGGTTAAATTTCATTTTGTATTTGAATTTACTTGAAGTTAAGGGAGCTCTCTGGTGAAATGCCTAAGCAGCTCTGCCTGGGCAGACAGCCACACTAGAATACTCCTGCGAATGTCCTGCCACACTAGGATGTGGCAGAACCTATCTTGACCATGGGAAAAAGGGGAAGAGAGGAAAGCAGGTTACCCAAGTTTGGTAAAAAGTTTAATTCATACACAGGTTTTTTTAATTAGAGGGCCAAAAACCTCACAATTCCAAGACAAAAGCAGTGAACAAGGTCCCTCTTGGGTTTCATTGCACTTGTAGCACTGTGCTCCTTTATACAATGCACTCCATGCCGTGGTGCACAGGAGTTTGTCTTCTACTCAGCTCTGACCACACTTTTTTTCTTTTCCTGTAGCTCCTGCCCACCCCTGTCGCCCCATTCCCCACAAAGAAGTGGCTGCCTTTCCCTAGGCTCCAGGCAGCTGCCAAGCAGCAGCATCCAGCCCCCTGCTTTCCTCAGACCTTCAAGATAGAAGGGCTAGGGAGAGTGTGGACCATAGCAGCCGGACACTGGGAAGCCAAACCAGCCAAATGAATCACTTACCCATTTTCAAGTGGGTGTCAGACAACAAAGGCCCCTAACCCCTGAATATCCTGGGGAAGTAACTTAGAGGGGGTGCCCAAGGTTAACTAGAGGACCTCCAGAGTCTCAGTCTCAACAGAGACTGAGATACAAAGTGAGACAGGACACAATGTTTAGCAATGGCCCTGGGCCACTAAAGAAGAAGAATTTGAAAGAAGCCAAATCAACCACTGGAAGATGACAAGGTGAAGAGGAGATAGGAAGGGGGGACACAAATGAGGACAGGGAAGAGTCCCCTTGTAGACAAGGTCTCAGGAAAGCTGTACTCAGAGTCCATCCTGTACAATCTATTAGATCATCTGATGCATCTGATGAAGCCCTATCCCATGAGGAGAGATGGGGAAATCCCAGCCAGGGAACTGGTGGGAGGCCCTGAGTATACTGGTGTGTAGACCCAAGACTGAAACCAAAACAAGAATGAGGAGACAGTGCTTATGCAAGCACAAACTTCAAGAGTACAGAAATAACCCAGCTTTAAAAAATGAGAGGAAGGAGAGATGGGATCAACTCATGAGGAGGAAAGGTGGTGGGGGAGTGGGGTAAGGGTTCCAGGGTACCATCAAGGCTGGAAACAAAACAATAGAAGGTGAGGAACAGAAAAAGGGAATTAAAGAGAACACAAATACAAGCATCCTAAATGCCAAAAAAAATGCACAACAGACTTTAAAAGAGCAAAGACTAAGATGAAGAAACATTTTAAAATTTAAAAATTTTTAAATGCACAAGACTAAAATGGAGAAATTCGATGTAAATAAAGAGACACAGCTGAGATGAATTATATTATTTGTATTAATCGATGTGAACTCACTAGTGAAAAAGATCTGATTGACTCAAAGCATAAGCCAGCTCTGCACTGTGTTTGTGAGAAATTAAGAGAAGCTAAATACAAGGATTGGAAAAGGAAAGGTACATCAAACAAACATCCCCAAAATCAGAGTACAAATTGTGATCTGAATACCTCATTTTTAGAGACAAGGAAGGATACACCAAAGGGGTTGAGAGGTTCTGAGCATCCAGGCCCCTGGGAGGTGGGAGATGGCCAGGTATTACAGGTGATCAAGAAGCCTAGGCTTGATTTGATCACTGTTTAGGTTTTATGTGCACAGCTGTTTTAGAAACCTTTTGCACAGGATGTAGACTGAGGGTTTCCCATGTCATCTAGATCTGGAGGAACAGTGAGGGTGCAGCCCAACAGGTCACTTGCAATAGATCTGCTAATAACTCTGAACTTTATGATGGTAGAAATACACCCATGTTCCCAACCACTGAACCAATCTTCTTAATTTCTGAAATAAGCAATGATTACTATGCTTTTGTGGTGCTGGAGATAGAACCCAGAGCTTTACATGTAGTAGACAAGTGCTCTACAACAGACCTAGGCCTCCAGCCCTAAAATATGCTTGAAAGTGAAGCATATAAACAGAAATGAACACAGGACAAATGAAAGAAACGCAGGTGGCACTAACTAGCTTCCCGGCTCTGTACCTACGTTAGGCCCCCTAATGACAAGAACATCCACATCGTGATCTAACAAGCTTGAATTCTTAAAGCACGTGGTCTACCAACTTCAGAAGTCAGAGGCCTTAGATCCATTTATTACAGAGATAAGCCAACACACTTCTCACCAAGTACTACAGTAAAAGCTGTGGGAATTAAGACTTGGCAATTGTGTGTAGATTTTATTTAGTGTAAGTTCTTATTTTAAAATTCCAATATCACATTTAGAGTGTACTAAAGTATTTTTAGATAAAGTTTTAAAATGAGTATTATAATGTGACCAACAAAGAAAATGACACAGCCTAATTCAGTAAGCCTAATTCCAAGAAACTACACAAAGGTCTTTGCATGCACAGAGATGCACAGAGGCACTGGGGGTGTAGCTTAGCACTAGAGCACTTGTCTAGCATGTGACAGGCCCTGGTTTCAGGCCCTAGCACCACGAAGAAAGAAAGAAAAAAAAAAAAAAGATGCACAACAAAAGAAAGTTAAGGCTGGGCTCACAGTGGGGATGTAGCAGTGTGGGTTGGGAACTGTAAGTGTTGTGCTGAGGTGGTACAGCCAAGGCCTGCATCTCTGCCTGAAGTTGCCTTCACTCCTTTAGCAGACCCTCAACATTGGCACACAAATGTAATTGGTCATTGGGGGAAGAATAATCTCTTTGGGTGCATGGGCCTGTGTAATTGTACTATTTCTTGAATTATGTCTGTCTATGGATGCAAAGTTATGTTTTCTTACCTGTGTAGCAAACATTATTCATATAGCACCTGTCTTCATAGGCACGTGAGATGGATCGATTTCACTGTGCCTGGTTAATGGGCCCAAACTGGAAGCAATGTGTGCTGTTTCTGAACCAAAATACTTCACTGCCAGATGCGTTTCTCAGCTCTCCCCTTGGCCAAGGCTCTGCAGAGTCTGAATGTTCCAGATGGCAAGAGCTACACCCTAAGATTTTCTGAGGGGCACAAAGAGCTAACTTGATGATCCTAGCATGCCTCCTCAAAGGCAGACTTAACAGAATCTCCTCTTTGCTCTTACCAGATAATCAATAGGCCAACAAGGCCATTTCCATACTGCATTCTCTCCCCCTTTTAAATCTTAGTAATTGCTTTTGTTGACAACACTTTAAGGACTGTTCTCCTTCCTTTATGACTTAATAGGTATCCAAAAACGAACTGTCAGGCCATCCTGCATTCAGGGCATGCATACAATCAACAACTGAGTGAAGATAGCAACAACTGTCTGGATACTGGGCTCTTTAACTCTTGGTTCAAATGAAATTTTCATCATGTAGCATTTAAATTTTTTCTTTAATTTTTAATTAGAAGAAAGCTACTTATGAACCTGCAGGATCTTCATCCACTGACTTCACATTTCTTCCACATCCTGAATTGTGATGTTTACGTCTAAAAATCAAAACTGAAGTCAAATGTCTCCACTGAGATTTTGGCCAAAACCCATGTGGCACTTGCCTCTCCAGAAGGGACTACACTTAGCAGGTGAGCACCTAGGGGCAGTGTGTGCTCTGGATGCTCAGCATCCCCTGCTTGCCCACCTGCCCCTGGGCTCACCCCTAGATGGAAGCACAGGAAAGATGTACCTGGCTTGTGAGGGTGAAATGTGCTTCCTTCACAAATGAATGCCCAAACAAAATACTACAGACTAGGTGGCTTAAACACCAGAAGTTTATTTCTTATAGTTACGGATGCTTAAGTTGTCAAGGTGCCAGCTAACTCGGTTTCTGGTGAGGACCTCCTCCTAGCTTACATACTGTTGCCCTCTCACGATGATCTCACTTGACAGAGAAAAATCTCCCTTCCTCATCTTATAAGGTCACCAATTCTATCAAATTAGGGCCCCACCCCATGACCTCATGTAACCTTAATTATCTCTTAGAAGCCCTACCTCCAAATAATATAGGCACATTGGGGTTAAAGCTTAACATGTAATTTTAGGAGGACATAGTCCACGGCACTTCATGCCGGGCAGTTCTTCGCTAGGATATAAATCTTCAGTTTGAAGTGATCACACCATTACCGTTGACTGCCACAGGAAGTACAAGCAAACTTATCTTACACAGAACTGTGACATATTAGGAAATGCTAAATGCTCTTTTGTGGCAGCAGCAGAAAGGTAGTCTTTGTAACACAGATTCTTTTTTAAAACTTTGCCTTTTGAGCACTTTGTCTAAACCACTATAGTTCAGAGACTTAAAAATCAGCCCTCATCACTAGTTTCTGAAGTTCAGAACTAAAGCAATCATCAAGACTTTGAAAACAAACCAAAAAAGTTTATTTACAAAAGTAAATCATAATTCACTTTTATATATCCTATAATGTTAACGCTGACAGCAACAGTTCTATGGAATATTTAAAACATAGATTTTAAAATACAGTGACGTGTGTAAAGTTAGTTTCTCCTAGTTATTTATAAAACTCAGGAACATTTCTTTAGCTCTGATGTTTGGTCATGATTCTGTGCAGAAGTCAGGTTTCGGGGCAGGCTCACCATCTGACGTGGTCACATAACCATTGGCTGCGGATTTCCAAGGAGCAGGGGCGCCAGTCTCAGCAGAGCTCGCACTGGCATCTTGAGCTGTTTAAATCTGAAGAGGAGCTCAGCAAAGCTTGTGCTCCCTGTAGAAACCGAGATGGGGAAAGGTTAGGTCTCTAAATAAACTCAGGAAGCTTCAGACAGACCATGTTTAAAGGAGGCATCCTTCTCTTAGAACAACCAGAGTACCTAAACCATGTACTTCCAAATGCACTTTAAAAATTTAGATTTACCCATTTTATACTGCAGAAAGCAGTCTATAGCTGTGCGTGAAGCTAGTAATATTGTTTAATTAACATATTAAGTATACTTAGTAAATGTGTCTATCCTCAACTCCTATTTAAGTGATTTTTTAATTAGCCCTAATACTTCAATCCCTAATCTATGAACACAATTTTAATCTGACAAAAGAACAAAGGCTGAGTATGAATAAAAGAAGTTATCTAATAATTTGCCCTCTAAGAAATAAAGATTCTCACCCTTGGTCCCATAGAAATTGAATGTAATCAATTCATAGGGAGTGCAGCCCGCACATCTGAGGTTTTGGAAGTTGCCCAGATGATTCTGTTGTACAGTCATGGTCTACAGCCACAGCACCAAAGGGAAGCATGCAAGTATTACCTAAACTTCCTTTTTGCCTCCATCCTACCAGTCCCTATAATATCATAGGTCATACTTTCCTGTTTCTCTGTATGCCTAATAATTTTTTATTATATGACAAATGGTGAGTTTCCTTTTTTTTGAGACGGTCTTGCTAGGTAGCCCAAGCAGGCCTTAAACTTACGATCCTCCTGCCTCAGCCTTCTAAATGCTGGCATTACAACTGTGCACCACACCTGGTCAAGTTTTACCTTCTTGAGTGCTGGATATTTTTGTACTTTGGTATTACTGAGCTTCATTCTGGGACATAGTTAAATTACATGAAAACCAATTTGTGCTTTTAAGATTCTATTTCCCACGACTGAGGGAAGACCCTGCTAAAGACTCCATCTAAGGCCCCTTGAACTATGAAGCTGTGGAAATAGGCACTATTCCCAGCTGCGTGCAAACAATGGACTCTGTGCTCTCTAAACCATTTGGGCAGCTCTTCCCCTAGGTAATTCCTTACTGGACTGTTGACCAGTAAGTATTCTCCTGATACTTGAGGAGGACCCTCTGCAGAGGGCTGCCACTCTCTGTACCTAACTCTTTATTCTGGTACCCATCTTGTAAGCTCCAGCTCTACAGGTCTCCCTGTGCTCACAGCCTAGATTCTCTCTTCCTCTCTCAGGGAAGCATCTGTGGCCACAATCACAGGGCTCATACCATCTGTTTCTCACCTCTCAGAGTCCACTGTTCTTCAGTGCCTGATGTACAGTATCACAAAACCCACTGGTTCCTATGTATTGTCCAGTATTTTTGGTTTTAGGAAGTAGAGGAAATTAGGCCCCTGCTATTTCATCCTGGCTTGAAAAGGGAAATTTTTAACGTTGATTTTTAGTAGTTTAACTCTTATGAGACCAGGTGTAGTTTTCTTTGTATTTATTCTTAGGGATCACTGTGGGTTGACAGCCACCAACCATTTTTTTCAAAATTACTAGCCTGTCATTTCAAATCACTTCAATTTTGTCTCCTCTTATTCTGTGACCACAAGTACATGAGTATTTGATTTTTTTTTTCACTGTGTTCCACCCCTTTTTCTCTCTGAGCTTCAGTTTGTTTGGTTTCTTTCTACTCACCTGTCTTCTAGTTAACTTCCCTGCTGGCTAATAAACTAATTAATCCATGTACTGAATCTATAATTTCAGTTTTTATATTTTTCAGTTCTAGGATTTCCATTTAACTCTTTTTTATTGATCCTGAGTTTCTGGTGAAATTCTTTCTCTCCCAATATTTATTTTCTTAGGGATATTAGTCATAGTTATTTTAAGTCCCAGTCTGATAACTCCAATATCTGGATCACATATAGGCCTATTTCTGTTGTCACAGACAACACACTGTCTCACACTTTTTGATTCAAAACTAAACACTGCTTAAAATCACAGAGGCTCCAAATATGAGTTCTTTATCCTAAAGAGGTTAACTTTTCTTCTTCTATCAGGCAGGTAAAATGTAAGCAGAACTTCTCAGTTCTGCTCTGGGCTAACTGAAGGTCTGGTCTGCTTCATTTTGCCTCTACACATAGGGCTTGGTCTGCTGTTAAGTCACCTGAATGACTAGGATGCTTCAGCCACTTTGTTCTGCCAAGCCTTAAACTCCACCCTTTGTCTCTTTGGCACTAATTTGGCTGCTGCAACAATGTGTGTTCACATTTTTAAACTTTGAGTTTCTGTTAAATCTGCTGAAGTCTTCTCCTGTGTATACACAGGTGAGATGTGGCAAATGTCTCAAGAGAAGAGCACATCCAGGATTTTGAGCTACAATTCCTATTGTTTCCTCCTACCTGGGATTTTGCTCCTAAGGTGTAGGTCCCTGGGCAATCACACACCCAAGCTCTGGCTCCTCAGTCTAAGAGCAGCACTGCGTTTTGCTTGCTGTGCTGTGGACTGGCAAAGTCTTGCAGGGAGTAAGGGTGAATGCAGAGTTCTCCTTAGTGCTCCCATCTCTCAGGGGTGCTGCCCTCAAGCAAGTCCTGCCAGCATGGCTGCCACCGATCCCTTTAAACAGCTATTATGTGTATTTTGTCTAGCTGTCATATTTGCTTTTGTGGGAGAGTATGTCCAATATAAGCAATGCTACCATGGCCATAACTAGATGTCTCTTTACAATATCATTTTATCTGACGTTTTCAAAATAGCGGTAAGTTAGTAATGACATTCAACTTTAAGTGATCAGTGGGACAATTTACACCCTTCTCAAGAATAGTTTTTCACCCTCAATTAAGGGAGAGCAATTTGAAAGTGATATTTTATAAATAAGTAAGGCTACTTAGAATTTATGATATTTTATTATTCATTTTATTAGATAAACTTTGTTTCCATATTCTGCAAAATACAGTCAGGAGCTAACACGATTTTTAATATTCCATATACTGGAAAATGTAAACACATATAAAATTAGGTACTTATTAAGTTTAAGGCTTTATAATAAAAATTAAGATAATGATTAAAATGATTAGGAAATTTTAAAATTTTCAACAAAAAAATCAATTACTAGAAAGGAATAATTTGAACATTTAGTTTATAGTCTGGTATTGGCTGCTCTGTAAAAGAATTCATCCTCTTGTAAATATAAATAGGAGCATGGCATATGTAAAGATGGTTTTGTTCTCCAGAAATAGTTCTCAGCAATAACAATGGCCTTGCTACTCAGGAGGCAGAGATCAGGAGGATCACAGTTCCAAGCCAGCCCAAGCAAATAGTTCTCGAGATCTTATCTTGAAAAACCCTATCACAAAAAACTGGGTTGGTGGAGTAGCTCAAGGTGAAGGCCCTAAATTCAAATCCCAATGCCAGAAGAAAAAAAAAAATAACGATGAAGCATGAATGAAGGTGAAAGTCAAACTAAAGAAACTCACTAGAAATTCTTCGTGCCAAGGAATCAAACTGGGATGGTAATAGAGATGCTAAATAGGACTAACATAGGCAATTACCTTCTAGCCCCATAGGCGGCAGGTGCCGTGGAGCTGGGACGGAGTGGTAGGCAAGGAAGCAGGCCAGCATGGTCAGCTGCGACTCCTCAACAGGCTGCCCACTGAGATAAGCACGCACACACACGCCACCCCCAGCTGTAAGGTAAGAGAAGCACAAGAGGAGGTGAGTCAACAGCAACAAAACTGAGAAGCACAGAAATGCCTTCAAGAGTATACTGAGCACTTGACATAAATAAGTAGCACTTTCCTGGGTACTCAAGCTTGTCATCACAGAGTTCAAAGGGCCACAGGGGAGAGGCTTTGCAGAATGACACAAATGAGTACATAAAAACAAATTGGGGGGTATGTGTATTAAGGTCATTGGGTGGTTCCCCCAAACACCTGTGATCCCATCTTCCCTCCATTATACAACATCTGAAGGGACTGCCTTCAGCTCCAGGACCAGATTATGGAGAGTTTCAGCCAGAGGTTCTTAGACTTCCCTGGGGTGCTTGTTAAAACACAGCCAGGAGGCCCCATCCCAGAGTTCCTGATTTGTATGTATGGGGTGAGGCCAGAAAACTACATTTCTACCAAGTTCCAGGTACTGTTGCAGCTTCAGGAACCACACTGAGAAGCACTGGTCTAGGGCAATCCCAGCAATCCCGTCATCCCCAACCAGAGTCAGCTCAGGATGGGTGGACCTAGGTTGTGAGTGAGTGCAATTCATTCTCTGCCACAATGGGGGAGGAGGGGAATGAGATGCAGCTCAGGCCAAAGAAAAGAGATACACAATGCTGTGTTTGCTTCTGGAAAGGCAATTTCCACAATCTTATGATAACGCTTCTAGAACAGCTTGTTCTTCCTCTGACCATCATGTGAAGATTGAGGTAAGGAACTATTACAGCCATTTTATTAACATGAAGGGGGGAAGGAGCACTAAGAGAATAAAGCCACGGCACAGACTGGAACCTCAGAAACAGGAGTCAAAGCCACTGCAGTAGGGGGTTCTTTAAGCTGCCATGCCAGTGTACTTAACATTGTGAGTTTATTTCTGTTGCTACTGTTTAAGCCAGGTTAAATCAGGCCTTCTGTCACTTGTAGACACAGACATTTGGAACAAAAAATCAGAGAGAGAGAGAGAGAGCAAGAGAGATCAAGATGGTAAGGAAGAGGCCAGGCACAGTAGCTCATGACTGTAATCACAGGTACTCAGGAGGCAGACAACAGGAAAATTAGGTTCAAAGACAGCTGGGGCAAAAAGTTATCAAGATCACATCTTAATAAACAAGCCAGGCATATGATGGTTCACACCTACAACCCCAGCTAAAGTGGAGGGCAAAATAGCAAGAACCTATCAAAAATAACTAAAGCAAAAAAGGTTTGAGGGTGTGGCTCAGTGGTTAAGAGCCTGCCTAGCAAGCACAATACCTTGAGTTCAAACTCCAGTACTAGAAAAAAAAAACTGGGTTATAATACATATATACATGGAAATATCACAATGAAATTCCTTGTATAGCCATCTTAAACAAACAAACGACCTCTTTTTAAAATAGGAGAACAGGAAGGTAAAACAGGTCCTGTCTAGGAGGCTGACACCAGTGGAAGGAGGGAGGATATAAGGAAAGGATGTAGGAAGGTGAGCATGGAAGAAATATTATATACTCATTTATGGAGACCTGTTGAAACTACTCCAGGAATGGGGTAAGAGAAGATAAAGGAGAATGGAAGGGGTGAATTCAATTATGATATATTGTAAGAACTTTCATAAATGTCTCAATGTACCCCCAGCATGACAATAATAATAAAGAATAACATAAATGCTAGTAATATCAAAGAGGGGGGGTAAGGGATGGTTCTTTCAATTATCTAGAGACGTTAGAAAGGCGATGAAAAAGAATAAAAAGCAAGAAAACTACTTAGTAGCCAGGTATGGTGGTACACATCTCTAATCCCAGCACTCAGGAGGCTGAGGCTGGAGGATTGTGAGTTTGAGGTCAGCCTGGGTTACATAGGGAGATAATGTCTAAAAAGAAAACAATCAAACGAATATCAAAAGGAAAAAAGAAAACTATTTAGGAGGCTCTAACAGTGGTATAGGGAGGTCATAATAGTTTTTCTCTAGATAGAACTAGTAATATGTGGATGGATTCAAGAGATATTCAGGAGGTAGACTGAAAGACTAGCAACGGATTGGCTCCTGCAGGAGAGGAGAAGGATGAAGGAAAAATGAATCCCAGATGGGTACAGGAAGGAATGACAGTGAAATAGTAACGAATATCAAGGAAGAATGTCAGAGAAGTTTAGAAAGGAAAAGAGCTGGGAAAGTGTGCTGTCATCGAAGATGAAGGGGCCCATTTCAAGAACAAAGAAGCACCTTCTCTTAGGACACCACCCCCAACTCTGGGGGCTCTACTTTATACTTTTCTATCTCAATGAACTCTCTTGCTTTACACTTAAAAACAACAACAACAACAACAACAACAACAAAAAAAAAAAAACAAAGAAGCAGTTAGAGCCTTGTAGTATGCTGGGTGCAGTGGTTCCCACCTGTAATTCAAGCAACTCGGTAGGCAGAGATCAGGAGGAACACAGTTCAAAACCAGCCAAGGCAAAAAACTCTCAAGGTCCCATTTCAACCAATAAAAGCTATATGTATATGGTGATGCACATCTGTCATCCCAGCTACACAGGAAGCATAAATAGGAGGATTAATGAATCAGACCAACCTAGGCATAAACATGAGACCCTATTTAAGAACACATAAAGCAAAAAAGGTTGGAGGTGTGGCTCAAATAGTAGAGTGCCTGCTCCTGGTAAGCTCCAAGGCCCTGTGTTCAAACTCCAGTACCCTTCCCGCAACACACACACAAAAAACCTTGTATTGTAGAGATCAAATGAGATGAAACTGTAAGGATGCCACTGAACACAGCAATGAGGATGTCAGTCCTCATTGGGAGGTAGGATTGTTGGGTTTGGGGAGGCAGCAGAGGACGAGAGATTAAAGGAGGCAAAGGAGACTTCTTTGATTGTGACTGGTCTGTACTGTCTCTTCAGTGACTTTCTCATGCCTACCAGTTTTTGTAATTCACTAATTTTCTCCACTGTTTTTGATTTATTTGCCTGCTTCAGGTTTATTTTGTTTTTGTCTTTCTAGTTTCTTAAGGTAAGCACTTACACTATTAATTGGAGACATTTCCTCTTTTATTATTGCAAGCAATCAGTGCTGTAAATTTCCTTCTCAATGGTGATTTAGCAAGAAGACTTACACTACCTGATTTTAAAAATGGACTTCAAATATACAGCAATTAAGACAGTGTGGCACTGTGACAAGGACAAATAGATCAAAGGAACAGAACTGACTTCAGAAACAGACTCACACTTCTACAGTCAGCTAACAGTCAACAAAGGTCCTAAAGCAATTCAGTAAGAAACAAGTATCTCCCACCAATGACCCTGGAACAACTGTGTATCTAAATTTTGAAAAATGAACTTCAATTGCTACCTCACCCCACTGAGGAGATACACAAAAACCATCTACACAGTATGATACACCTGATGAATTTTCAAATGTGGTGGATGCAACAGGGCATGAGCAGTGGCTAAGGCCCACCTCTGCCTTTGTGGTTTGTACTGAGGCAATGTGAACAGCATTTTCTGACGCAGATATGCAGACTTTCCAGCTTCCACCCAAAGCTGGCTGCTAGTGCTGTGAAAGTGGTGACCATATATTTAAGTTTTTAAAAGGCGATAGTGCTTCAAAAGAAATGAAACACCCAGTTTTGGTAAATCAGAGTGGAAAGTTAAATCTGAGGGAAGCTCAGAATAATGATGGAACCCATCAAATGCCCTAAAATGCACAGTTCTAGGGAAAGCTCCTGTCACTGGCAAAGTTTCAACACACTTTATGACATTTGCAAATCAGTCTGCTAAGATTTAAAGACACTTCTCATCTATAGCACAGGTCCACTTAAGTGTTCAAATGCTACACTGAATAAAAAGAAAACATCACTACCTAAGAAATAACATATATTTCCCTCAAATGAGAATAAAATAATTACTAATAAGAGGAAAGGATAGATTGGATGTAACTACTAAATATTAACATTGAGAGTATGAAATTGCTGCTTCCCTCATATATTCTTCACTATCTGATTTATAATTTACTAGTTTTCAAAACTTATTTCCTAGTAATACAGCTAGATAGCTTTTAGCTATCATATGTACAGGTTCAATTATTCAAGCAAGAACTGTTACTACTGGGCTGAAGGAGAGGCTCAGGTAGTAGAGAACCTACTTAGTAAGCATGAGGCACTGAGTTCAAACCCCAGTACTGCCCAAAAAAGAAAAAAAGAATAGTTACTACCGAGATTACTGGGGTTGTATTTAAAGCAGGTTGCATTTGAGTGAACTGAAAAGATCAAGGAGCTGACTACTGAAAATCAATTTCACATATAAAGAAGGCCCCATTGTTTGCTTCACATGAGGCAATCAGTCAGAATCACTTCAACAAGTTATGAATAACTTTACAATTTCCTTGTAATCACAAGTCAGTACTTTCACTGGCAGAAAGTCACTGTTACAGGTTCTTGCTGACTGCTCAGAGTTAGTAAAACAAGCACTCACTTGATAAGCACCTATCAGATTCTTACTGTATGTGAAGGAGGCAGGCTCAAAATAGGGAATAAAATGGATGCTGGCCTCAGATAGATGACAGATCACATGCCTGAGAAACAGAAGACACTGGAAAGATGACATGGTTCAATGAGGGGTGGATAAGACAAGGCCCTAGTGTCAAGTGGTATTTAAAATGCTTTCTCTATTCTCTGCAAGGTTTAGCAAGCAAGTAAATGTGTTTTCTAAAGAAGCTGAAGGAGATAATCAGCGTCTAATGTCTAACTCAGTTCAGGGGATTGGACTCAGGACTACCACTTGAGCCATGCCCCCAGTCCTTGTACATTTTTAGTTTGTTTTTCAGATAAGGTCTCTCATTTTTGCCTTGGGTAGTCTCAAACCATGACCCTCCTATCTCCACATCCCAAGTAGCTGGGACCACAAGCATTTGCTACCAAGCCTAGCTTGCTTTTGAGATGGGGTCTCATGAACTTTTGCCCAGGCTGGCCTCCAACCACAATCTTCCTATCTCTACTTCCTGAGTAGCTGGGATTATAGCTATAAGCTACCATGCCCAGTAAGTCAAGTGATCATAAAAGTTTAAGCACAGTGCTATCAACATCACCTCGCAGCCACTGGTCCAGAGTATTATCAATAGTGCACTTCACCACTGGCAGGAACTCGGAGTTCATAAACAGCCCTCGCTTAGGGTGGTTCTGCACTCGCTCCTGATGGCTTCGGGAGCTGAAAAACTCTAACACCAACTTTATTTGCCAAAGTTCAGATGTCTCAGACATTTCTCTTTTTCCAAGTCTTCTTATAGCCTATAACGGGGAAAAAGAAGAGCACTTCATTTAATAAAAGGGTGAGGTATTCTAATCACCTCTTGCCCAGTGTTGTACAGCAGAGTATTTTTTAAGTGTGGCTCATAAGATGCATAAAGGGTAGTGGAAGATCTAGTCTGCTATGACACCATCTGCCCCACTGGTGTGGGCACACAGCTTCTAAGTGAAAGTAAGGAAGACCAATGAGCTCATTTTCAGCTCAACAGCTCCAAATAATGAAAATCCAGTGAATGTATAGTCAGTTACCTCAGGGAAACGCAGGTCAGGTACAATGACACAGCAGAGCTCAGGCCAGGAATCCCAAGGGAGAAGGCAAACACAATACTACTGATCATATTGCTCAAGATCTACCTGCAAAGTCACCATGGCTGCAACCAAAGAGGATGTTTCTCCATGGAGACTGCCAGAGACTATGGATGGATGAAGATTCCCAGAGGAAAAGAAGGGAACAGTCTCAGCCACCACCAAAAAAGCAATGACTTGGCTGTTGTGCCAAGAGGACTGTGAGCAGTGCCAGCATGAATACCACAGATTCATACTTTCCAGCTGAGAAAGGGTGGATTCCAGACAACAGCAACATTTTGGGCCTACTTGTTTCTACTGGAACATGACTACTCAGCACACTGTAACTTTCAGGTTTGGGAGGAGTTAGCTCCTGCCTAAATGTATTTCCCAACTAGGCTTCTTAGGAGATTATTTTTAGTATTAGAGATCACTTTTGTGCTTCAGACAGTGCCAAATGCCAATCTGTGAACTCTTTATATCATACTCACTTGAAGAGTTGTTTAAAACTACTGATTCTGGATCTTATTCCAGAAATTTTGATTCAGCAGATGTGGTATGGGTTATGAGGATCTGTATTTTCAGTATTTCCCAAGTCACTTCAGTCAGGTCAGAAAACAACTGGCTTAGCTTAACTGCCAATCTGAGTCTGACAGATAGAACACTGTTAAAAAGTATAAATATTCTAACAACCTGAAGTGAGTAAGTCAGTCAGATCCTTTAGAAAAGCCATTAAGCACTATTTTCTACCTTACCCCAGTCAGGCTCCTAAAACAGCAGTAACAAGAAAACTTTAAAATGAACTCCAACTCTCTAATTCACTACATACTGATGCTGTCACTTTCTACAGGCTTATTCAGGAACATATGACTTCATGTTCCCGCCACCAAAAGTGCTCACCTGATGCTCATTTGCAGTCTTTTCCATGAAGGGGCTTTGCCAGGAAGAAAGTAGCTATAAGGAAGTTAGGCATGAGGAAGGGAGTGCTCTTTCTCCCTTAGAAAAGGGAGGAGGGCAGAGAGGAGAGTGGGAAACCTTAGAGGAAGGCAGCCCATAAAGGGCACTTCTACCAGCACCAAGCCCAAGCTTTCAACTGGGATGGGGTTTCCCTTTTAAAACTTCTAAAACCAAATGAATCGAAAGTAAGGACACATGGGAACCTTACTATACTGTTCAGTAGGTAACCTGAAATACAGAGTAAATTTCATCAGAATTAGTGAGATCTTGGTTTTTGGAACCATACCTGATCCATTGCTATATATGCAGGCAACATCTCCGGGGTCTCCTGAGTGACACATTCATAGAGTACTGAAGAAAAGAGATCCAGAATTTCCTGTTTCTGTGGAAAACCAGAAGTGTTTTGCAGCACAAAGTATATTCCAAAATTAACTCAAAAAAACAATTGCAGCCAGAAGCATGGCTCTAGTACTAGAATACCTGCCTTGTAAGCACAGGACCTGAATTCAAACCCTAGTACCACCAAAAAAATCAAACAAACAAAAACATCAAGAAACAATTGTAGGGAGGTGGACAGAGGAGAATGATGGAGGGGCTGAATTCAACTATGGCATATTTGATATACTGTAAGAACTTTTGTAATGGCACAATGTACACCCAGCACAATAAAAAAATAATAAATAGATGAAAAAAAGAAAGAACTGCATAACAACTACTATGGCCCATTCTCTACAGTGAATTTTGTAATCTTTCTAAACAATCATAGCACAGAACTCATCATGTAGCACACACTTGCAATCCTAGCACTCAGGAGGCTGAGGCAGGTCAAGGCCAGCTTTAGCTACACAATGAGACCCTGTCTCCAAAACACACACACACACACACACACACACATTACACATCAATAAAAAATAATCAAAATTAAGTGACAGGACATCACAGAGGTAAGTCTTGAGTCAGCCTGGGAAGAGCCGGATTCAGAAAAGCAACACAGCATCAACAAAGATGCAGGAGAGAACGATGCCAAATACAAGTTTGGGGTGGGAGCAGATTGAAGTCCAACTATGGGGAAGGGCAGGCACATGTTTTACCAGACATCTGGCCTCAAGTGCACACCTTAGCCCTCACTAGTCATGTGACCCTGGGCATGTGACATCTCTGAGTGGCAGTTTCCTCATCTGTAAACCCAGCATAATAAAGTACCTTCCCTCAGGGTCAGAATTAAATGAAAAAATTGTATCAAGCACTCAGCAGCATGTGCAGCACATAGTGAAGACTAAGCAAATAAGAGAAGGGAAGATTATTACACCCAAACCTCAAAATAGGGGGATACAGTAGGCTCATTATAACCCCATTTTTAGAAACAAAGAAAACTGTATCTTAGGGAGGCTGAGAAACTTTCACAAGGCGACACACACTTGTAGATATCAGGCTTCAATCCTGAATCACCTAATTCCTATACATACTCTGTCTGCACAGCAGATTAAAACAAGGCCCACTAGGTACCCTCAGTGTTCTGAAGAGAATAGTCATATCATCAACAGAAGAAGGGGTGTAATATATAGAGGAATAAAACTAATAAAATTATATAAAAACAAGAAAAGTGGTAAACACTAAAAACATAAATCAATTCAAGAATGGACACAAGAAGCTATCACCCATCAAAACTAATGTCTCAAAAATTATATGTTGTTTCTCCTATTAAGGTAGGAAGTTACTGAGTTTAATAGTTTATATTGTGGCAATCTGTATTTGCCAAGCAAAAATCATCTAATATACCTGAGGAATGTCATCAAAGACAGAAAAGAGTGCTGAAGAGTTTGTGTGGTTCACAGAAATAATAAATTCTAGTCTTGGGGCTAGCAACCCATATAATACTTACCTGGCCCATATTCACAGTTGGTTTGCAAAAATATTCGGCAAATGACAGAAGTGCTGGATCAGAAGTGAATGCTGAAATTGTTTCTGGCTAAAAAAGAAAAGCAAACCAATATAAGTGAGATAATCAAAGACTACTTCCTTTCTGCTCAAACTATAATACACACAGTTATAAGAACTCCCTTTTCACACAATGTTCCCACAAAAACTCAAGATGGTACAAACTTGCTAGAGCTTCATCACCCTGTTCTGCTAATAACTTACAAAAAACTTTTTGTGCTAGCTAATATGACCTATTTATTTACCAAACTTCCAATAATAAACAGGTCTTCTTTCTGATATGACTCAACCAAATAAGGCTTTCCTTTCCCTTCTCCTTCAATGTCTAACTAAAAAGTCTGCTAGAAAATGTAATTGTTACTGGAAAAGTTAAGGGAAAAAAAGTATCACTCAAATAAGCAAGTCACAAAAGGACAAATACCATAGACTCCAAATACATAGGTGTTTAGAGTAAGCAAAATCATAGAAGCAGAAAGCAGAATTCCAGTTACTGGGAAGCTAGGAGAGAGGACATGGGAAGTTATGGTCTAATTGGTACAGTTTTAGGTTTACAAGTTGAAATTGTTCTAGAGATGGATGATGGAGATGGGTACACAGCAATATCAATGTACTTTAGATCACTGAACTGAAGTGTCTTACCACTTAAAGATGGCTAAGACTAAATTTTATGTCATATGTATTGTGTCACAATAAAAAATTGGGGAAAAAACCAGGTATCACTCAAGGTTCAAGACTGAAAATGGAACATGAAGGTTATTACTATTTCCTATTAAAGTTCACATTTTATTTCTAAAATACCAGCATGTAGGAAATTGAGATATCTTTTAATTTTTATACATTTTCCTCTTCAAACTCAAATGTAAACTTATTTATTTTCCTCACAAATTAGTCTTTCAAAGAAGCTCTAATTTTAAGAAGACGCTAACTCTACAAAAAATCCCTCAAAAGTGTTTCACAAGCTGGGCACTTGTGGCTCACACTTGCAATCCTAGTTACTCAGGAGACAGAGATCAGGGAGATGGTGGTTCAAAGCCAGTCCAGGCAACAAAAGCAAGACTCTGTATAAAAAATACCTAGCACAGGGCTGGTGGAATGGCTTAAGTGGTAGAGCACCTGCCTAGCAGGCATGAGGGGCTGAGTTCAAGTCCCAGTATGGCCAATAAAGAAACAACAACACAAAAAAGGGCTGGTAGAATGGCTCAAGTGGTAGAATGTCTGCCTAGCAAACAGGCCCTTGTACTAATACCACATAAAAAAAATAATAAGTATTTCACAAACATCAGGGAAAGATGGTAGATAAGAAGTGTCCTATGAGTAAGATTATGAATGAGAAGATGAGGGTAACAAAGAACAGACTTTATTTGGAAGATAGAAAGAGAAGAAAAGCATCAAGAATCAGGAAAAACATGAAATGACAGCTGAAAAGCACAGAGAAACCAAAAGATTATACAGAGAAAGTAGGAAACAGACTACAGCACTAACTTGTCCCCCCAACTCTGGGCCAAAGCCATAGCCATGGCCATAGTAGGCTTACTGGCAGCAGACTGGCAGTCCTAGCCATAGGATAAGCCTGCAGTATACAAACCTAAAATCCAGTGTAGGGATTCACTATGACAATGACTCTCTGTGTGGCAGGCCAACACTGGAGAAATCATTTTGCAGCTCCCTGTATCACGGAGAACTATAGTCAGGCACCATCTTGAGAGGGGCCTATACTATAAGATTGAGCTACTATAGGCACCTGAAAATAAGGAATAACCTCAAGCTAGGAAGCCTGGGGGACACCTTCCCAGCATCTGGGTGAGGGACAGTCAAGAGAAGCAGTAATGGAGATGGGACAGACATGGGCCTGCTGAGAAGTTTAGGCATCAGGGACCTTGGCTGTGGAGGGGGTTGTGATCAGTGGCCCTACCCTCTGTGATGAATAGCGAGTCCAATACCTGTGGATAATTGTAGAAACTAAGAGTTCTTACCTGAGCCAGATTACTTGGCCTCCAAAATTGCCTTCCAACTGCAGGTGGTTTGGTGCTGGGCAGGACAGAGATCTCTGAGCTCACTTCCAGCAGATAACTCAATTTTCCTAGTGTCCTCCCTCCCACAGAGTCGTTTATAATTGGATCTGAAAGGGCTGAGTTAGGCAGAATGCCAGGTTCCCTTGGTTCTCCCAATCTAGTGCAGATCTCAGTGCTCTGTTTACTTCTTCCACTCTCTCACTCTCCAAGGATTCCCCTACACTTAGACATTTGCCATCCCTGGAGGTGGGAGAGGCTCTGGAGCAACTGAGAACCTGCCCAGCCCACAGGCTGCAAAGCTTGTTGGGGCCAACAGCAACCCCAGGTATGTAAAGGGAAGCCTCTAAAGTGAACAAAGCCCTGATGCTGACAACTGACCCCTCACTGGCCCAGCTCTCAGATCAGATACAGCACCAGCATGAAGAGTACTGATGCTGTTAGGTCTGTTTATTTTCTCCTCTCTGAGTGGTACTGGTGACTAAGTCCTCAAAGAAGGCTGCTCACTAAGAGAAGAGAAAACACCCCAAATAAAACCAGAATAGATATCCATTCCAACAGATGTACAAATCGCAACTAAGAAACACAAGAAATATAAAAAAAGCAAAACAATGACTCCTCCCAAAGTTCACAACTATTTAATAACTGAATACAAGACACTGAGATGGTTGAAATAGACAAACAATTCAAGAATCTAGTTTTTAAAATGACCAATGACCTCAAAGAAGATTCAAATAAAGGAATGAAATAAAGAAATCAATTGAAGAGCTGAATTTTAAAAAGTCAACAACTTGGATGAGAAATTCAACAACTTGAATGAGAAATACAGCAGAGATAAGAGATTCTGAAAAGAAAACAAACAACATAAAAAACCTAAACAGAATCCTAAAAATGAAAAGGGCAATAAGTCAAATAAGTCAATGAAAAGCATGACCAACAGACTAGACCACAAGGAAGAAAAAATACTGGGGATTGAATACAATCAATCAGATAGCAATAGACAAAAAGATAAAAGAAAAAAGCAATCATGACAATAACATTGAAGACCACTAGGACATAGTTAAGAGGCCAAACCTACAAATGTGTGGTATAGAAGAAGAGACACATACTAAAGGCACAGAAAACTTATTTAATGAAATCACAGCAGAAAATTTCCCATTTCTAAGGAAACAGATATCTAAGTACAGAGGCATTTAGAATACCAAATAGAAATGACCAGAAAGAGCCTCTCCACATCATACTACAATTAAAATGCCTAGAGTATAGAAAAAAAAAAAAACAACACAAATACTGAAAGCTGTGAGAAAGAAGTAGAAAATTACTGACATGGAAAAACTAATTAGGGTAACAATAGATCTCTCAGCAGAAACCCTAAAGACCAGGAGCGCATGGACTAATGTGTTTCAAGCCCTGAAACAAGAACTGCCAATCAACATTACTGTACCTAGCAAAGTTATCCTTTAATACTGAAGGAGAAATACAAACTTTCCATGATTAATATGAACTGAATTAATTCATGACAACTAAGCTAGAATTGAAGAAGATACGGAAAATACTACACACACAAGAAAAAAAGAAGTTATAGTCAAGCATGAGAGCTCAGAAAAGACTGAATTTCACTGAAAGAAAAAACAAATGAGAAGTAGGAAAGAATCAAGCAATATTAACTCAGTAAACCAGCAAACCTCTAAGATGAAGAAGGGAAAGTTAATAAGTATCTCTCAGTAATAATCCTAAAAGTAAATGTCGTAACTTTTCACTTAAAAGAGACTGCCTGAATGGATTAAAAAAAAACAAGAAAAAATTCACCTTACTGGCAAAGACACAGACTGAAATTAGAAGGATAGATAATGACATTCTAAGCAAACAGAATCCAAAAGCAAGCAAGAGTAGCTACAATCATATATGACATAACAGAAATTAATGAGAAAAGATAAAGAAGGTCACTATATATTAATAACATGGGAACAGTCCATCAAGAAGACAAAATAATTGTAAGCATATATGTAACAAATGTTGTTATATCCAATTTTCTAAATTAAACACTATCAGAGATGAAGACAGATTAGTTCAGATATAATAACAGTAAATGATATAATAACAGTAAATGAATATTCCACTCAAGAGCTGCAAAAAACCGCTCTTGTTTCTCAGCAGCCCATAAAACCTTCTCCAAAACAGATCACATTTTAGGCCATAAAGCAAGTCTTAAGAAAAAAAATGCGTATTATCAGATCACAGTGGAATAAAATTAGAAAGCAACAAAACAGCAACGGAAAATATACTAAAACATGGAGACTGAAAAATATACTTTTGAACAGTGGATCATTGAAAAAATCAAGGAGGAAATTTAAAAATGGAGACTCAAAGAACAATACAAAGGATCAATAAAACAAAGACTTGGATCCTTGGTAAGATAAGCAGAATGACAAATCCTGAGCCAAACTAACAAACAGAGAGAGAGAGAGAGAGAGAGAGAGAGAGAAAGAGATTAATAAAATTAGAGATGAAAAAGGGAATATCACAATAGATGCCACTGAAATTCAGAGGATCATTATGGAATGTCTTAAAAACTTGTATTAAAATAAACTTGAAAATCTAGAAGAAATGGACACACTGCTAGATACATATGACCTACCAAAACTGAACCAAAAGTATATTAAAAAACTAAACAGATCTACAACAAACAGTAAGTGTGAAGTAAAGAATCTCCTAAGAAAGAAAAGCCCAGGACCAAACAGATTAACTGCTAAATTCTATAAGACCTTTAAAGAAGAACTAAAATCAAGGTTCCTCAAACCATTTCATAAAACAGAAAGAGATGAAATGCTTTCAGACTCATTCTATGAAGCCAGTACTACCCTGATACCAAAACCAGATAAGGATACACCAAAAAAAAAAAAAAAGAGAAAACTATAGATTACTTTCCATGATGAACATAGACATAAAAATCCTCAATAAAATACTTGCAAACTGAAATCAACAACTCAATAAGAAGATCATACATTGTGACCACATTGGTTTCACTGCAAGGATGAAGGAAGGTTCAACATACATAAATCAGTAAGTGAATATAGCACATTAACAGAATCAAGGACAAAAATCACATCATTGTTTTAATGCATGCAGTAAATGTAACAAAATCCAACATTTCCTTCATGATAAAAGCCCTGAAGAAACTTGGAATAAAACAGTCATACCTCAACATAATAAAGGCTATATATGACAAAACTAAAGCCAACATTATACTAAATGAGGAAAAACTGAAATTGAAATCATTTGTTCTAAAACCAGGAATAACACAAAGGGTGTCCACACTCTCCACTTTTACACAATACAGTGCTTTAATCCTTAGCAAGAGCAATAAGGGAAAAAAGAAAAAACAAAAGGGATACAAATAGGAAGGGAAGAAGTTAAATTATCTCTAATGCAGAAGATTATGATCCTATACTTAAAAGACCCTAACAACTCTACCAGAAAACTCTTATACCTGATAAACATGTTTGGCAAAGTAGCAGGATACAAATTAACATACAAAAAAATCAGTAGATTTTCTATATACCAGAAACAAACTTGCGAGAAAGAAATGAAGGAAACAATCCCATTCACAAGAGACTAAAAAAAACCCACACTAAACCTAGGAATAAACTAAGAAAGCCAAAGACCTCTACAATGAAAACTATTAAAACACTAAAGAAAGAAATTAAAGAAGACACTAGGAGATGGAAAGACCTCCCAAACTCATGGACTGACAAAATTAATTTTGTGAAAATGGCTGTATTACCAAAAGCCTACTACAGATTCAATGCAGTTGCCATCACTATTCCAATGACATTCTACACAGAAATAAAAGGATCAGACCTAAAGTTCATATGGAAGAATAAAAGACCATGAATAGCCAAACAATCCTGAGCATAAAGAACAGCAATGCTGATGAAGGTATCACAATTCCAGATTTCAAATTATACTACAGAGGAATAGTAACAAAAAACAGCATGGTATTGGCACAAAAACAGATGCAAACCGTAATGGAATAGAATAAAGGACCCAGAAATAAACCCACATCTGTAGTCAGCTGTTGGGAAGAAAAGACAGCCTCTTCAACAAATAGTGCTGGGAAAACTGGATATCCACACGTAGAAGACTAAAACTACAACCCTATCTCTCACCCTGTACAAAATCAAATCAAAATGGATGAAAGACCTTAATGTAACACTTGAAACTACTAGATGAACTACTAGGGGGAACACTTGAAGTATAGGCGTAGACAAGGACTTCCTGAATAGGACTATAATATCCCAGGAAAAAAAACAGTAAGAATTGACAAATGGGATTCTCTCAAAAGGCTTCTGCACAACAAAGAAAACAATTACCAGAGTGAAGAGACAGCCCACAGAATGGGAGAAAATCTTTACCAGCTATTTATCTGACAGAGGACCAATATCCAGAATATATAAAGAAACTCAAAAATTAAAACCCCAAAGAACAAATAATCCAATCAATGAATGGGCAAATGAACTGGACAGTTCTTAAAAGAAGTATAAATGACCAATAAATACTTAAAAAAATGTTCAATATCCTTAGCCATCAGGGAAATACATATTAAAACTACACTGAGATTCCATCTTACCCCAGTCAGAATAGCTATCATCAAGAATATAAAGCACAACAAACACTGGCAAAGATGGGGAGGAAAGTACTCTTCTTACTATTGGTAGAAATACAAATTAGTAAGCCACTATGGAAATCAGCGTGGAGTTCCCCAAAAACAGTAAAATGAAACTACCATATGATCCTGCTATGCCACTCCTGAATATATACCCAAAGGAGTCTAAGTCAGCACACAATAATAGACACACCAGCATGTTTACTATAGCACTATTCACAATAGTTATAGAAATTAGCCTAAATGTCCATCAACAGATGAATGGACAAAGAAGATGTAGTAGGCCAAAGGCAGTGGCTCACACCTGTAATCCCATTACTCAGAAGATTAAGGTTCAAGACCAACCTGGACAAAAAGTTCCACAAAAAGCTGGGTATGGCGACACGCAGCTGTCATCCCAATATGTAGGATGATAGTGGTCTAGGTTGGCCCAGACAAAAAAACATGAGACCCTATCTGAAAAGTTACTAAAAAAAGAAGAAGTTATAGTGTGTGTATGTGTGTATATATATATATATACATATATACACATGTATATGGTAAAAAGAAGAAATATGGTACATATAATTATTCAGACATGAAGCAAAAAATTGTCATTTCCAGGAAAATGAATGGAACTGGAGATCACATGTTAAGCAAAATAAGACCCAGAAAGACAAAATACCACATTTCCTCTGGGATATGAAATCTATATTTTTAAAAAAGAAAGAAAATGTGGAAGGGGGTCTATTTGGGACAAGGAAAGAACCAGAAAGAGAGATGGGGGCAGCAAAAGAATATAATCTGGGCATGGATATGATCAAAGTACATTATATACATGCATGAAAATATCATCATAAAACCCATTATTTTGCATAAAAAGAAAATGTGGGCAGGGCATGGTGGTGCATATTACAATCCCAGCTACTCCAGAGGTGGACATAAGAGGATCATTGTTTTAAGTCCAGCCAGGGCAAAAGTTAGTAAGACCTTATCTCAAAAAACCAAATCAGGTATGGTGGTCCATACCTATAAGTCCAGAATTCAGGAGGCAGAGGTAGCAAGATCACAAGCTCAAACCAGCCCACACAGAGTTAGTTAGAGGCCCTATCTGAAAAACAAACTAAATAAAAAGGACTGGGTTGAATCCTAGCATTGCAAAACTGATAGACAGACAGACAGACAGACAAATGATAGACAGAAAGAACGATAGCCAGTTCTTTTAAAAAAAAAAAGAAAAAAATATTTCATACACAACTTTGTAAGGCTGCTAAACAAAATTCGCTGAGATCAATCCCGGGAATCACCAGGATTTAAATCCTGGTAACTATTATAAAGGCTCAATGTTAAGTTACTTATCTAAAGTGAAATGTGAGTTGAATTAAAATAAACTGTTATCTCCTTACTTGAAGAATAGAGAATGCAAGTCAGTCCTCAGGCTGTCACTTAGCAGGTCTATCTGCCACACCTCTGCTGTATGTACTTAGGGTCCTGACTACTTTAGACTCGGTATCTTCAGCAGAGACACAATTGCTCCCGAAATTCCTAAAATCTGGTGTTAAATTAAAAACTATTACTGCTACATTATGTAATATAGTTCTAGTGTTGGAAACTTGAGTTCTATAATGTAGAAAAAGATATGTACTAACTCCTCACAGGAGTGAGGCTGTTTAATCCACTATTTTATTTTAACTATTTCTTCATTTCAAATACTATTGTATTGGCAGTCAAGTACTGTGCCAATAATAAGGCAAACTAATAAAGAAAACTAAATATGCCATCATTCTATCATCAGTATAATTTAAGAAACAAATAGTAGCTTAAAAATAAAATTAATAAAGCTGGTAGTGGTGGCACATGCCTGTAATCCCTGCACTTGGAAGGGGGAAGCAAGAGGATTGACAGTTATGTCTCAAAAAGAAAGAAAGTAATTACTAAGAGCTAACTTGCAAAAATCTCTATTTTGATACGAATTAAATATTGACTGATTTGAGAATAGGTAAAACTATTAAACCAAAAACTTTTTATAGCATGAAAATACTGTGAGTGTCCTTGCCATTAAATGTAAATCGTACTTACAGTATTGGCAGATTGTCCTATTTTATTATGGCTGTCACATAAAACAACAAAGGGACCCAAGGTCATTCAGGCTTTATTTATAATTTGAAGCAAAGGAAGCTAGTGGGATTTGGACTATTTCCTCTTTTCCTTCAGTTTTTACCAATCAATACTACCTTGAAAGCCCGCGCTTCAGAGTTCCTATTGGCAACAGTCTGGGCCAACAAACTTTGCCACCCCATTGGATCTTCTTTGTAAGAGAGTTGGCCAGCCCTGAGTTTGACATATAAAACCCCATCCTTGGAGAGAATGGACCTGAAATAAAAAAGAATCAACTTAATATGAGATGTCCATTGACCATTCTTCGCTAGAAACTTAATGTTTTCCCAAGCTATGTTTATAGGATATAAAGTCTACCATTGTCCATTGATTATTTACTGTGTCTAAAATTAAATCAGTCTATACAAGAAAGTCTAAAATAAAAAATAAATTAAATAAAAAAGAAAGCTAAAAAATAAACTTCTGCTTTAGCCTGGTGTCTAAACATGACACTTGTTAATTAAGAAGGAATTCTGGCTATTTGCTCAAGTGCAAGCTTCAAAGGTAATATTTTATCTAACACTCCTTATATGCCCTATGTCCCCTAGCACTATGCATGGAACACTGGAGTCACTAAAGATCTACTAATTGCTTTGCAGTAGAAAAAACATAATGCAAATCTAAAGTCAGAACAACACAGAAATCGGCCATTAGAGAGCAGAAAAATACAAATTGTGACCTAACTGTAAAAATTTTTACACGCTTGTTAAACTTTCTGGAAATTTAATTTATATACTACTTAAGGCATAAAATTACTAACAGACTAAAGCAATTTCTTACATATGACTATTTCTTCTCCAAAGCAATCTACCACAATCTTAAATTAGTAAGAACATTCTAACAAGAAAATTGTATAGAGGTGTAACGCATGTGTTTGACAAACACAAACTTTATTATAATGACTGTGTCTTCTGTGGACAGACACATCAGCCCTACTTTCTTAAACTAAATCTAACATTACTGTACCAAAAAGCAATTCCATTACTGTCTCAAGCTAAGTCAGTCAAGTTTCTCAATAAAAAATGTAAACATTCAGGGCCTGATTTCCAAATTGAAACTTTCACATTCAATTACAAACCCTGTGTCAAAAATATAGACCACTTTATTAAATATAGCCTCCACACTGTCTTGGATGATAAGCAGCATTCTAGATAATAATCTATAATTTATACCTCTCCATGTGCCTCTCTACTCAATTCCTATAAGGTAGGCTTGAGAAATTCAATATACTTACTTCAAGTGCTGTGTTCCCTTGCTTAAATCTATGAGCAGTTCCCAGTATCTTGGGCCTTTAACTTTAATCTGCCGAGAAAAATGCAAACATAGTCAACTCAAAGATAAAAAAGTACTGGTCTGAAACTGAAACTCATGCTTCTCAGAGTAAATAATAACCCAGCTGAAAGAGACATCAAGAGGAAAACGAGATCCATTTCCTGAGAAAAAGGCAGGTAACTCGTGTTCTGAGGACACCAAACCTAAAAGAACTCCAAGATAAGACCTTCTCTACATTTCATGACTGTTCCTCCTGCTTTTGCTTTCCTGTTTCAAGCATAGGGAAAGCAGAGGCTTTTGTGTAATAAGTTACCTTTAATGCTATGCTGCTCTGTTTCAAAGCATTCCTTGGATAAAATTTGCCAAGTCACACCCAACTTACCTGCTTTAAAAGGTGGAGTTCTGGAAGAAGGGTAGGAGCCATCAATTCTTCTTTGGTTTGTTCATACCACTGAGTGCCCTTTACAAAGGTAAAAGTACAGCCACAGTTCACTAGGTAAGCAGTGGGAACTACAAAAAAGGAACATCTTCACTCTTCACCTCTCCCTCCCCCTTCCTTGAAGTTTGCAAAAAGATATTAAAGGGCATAAAGTCCCTTCTGATACTCAGATCTTAAAGGTCTCAAGACTAAATTTCTTTACAAGGCATGCATCACCTCCTACCACTTGAATCCTTGCCCTTCACCAGCCAGCAGTACAGAACAGATGTATTTCCATAGGCTATGGGCTTATGCATATGTTTTCTGTACTGAAAACAAGTCCCACTCAGTTGACAAATCTCAGCCAAAACAGTATCCATGGTGACAGATGCATCAATACCACAGCCAGACAAAGGCACTCCTCTGTTTTCCACACTTCCCTCCAATTACCACACTCTATTCACACAGAATCCAGGCCTGGCTCCCCAATAAAGAGAAGTTCCTTATGGAGTACGACAATGCCATCTCATCTTTATATCCCAGAGGCCAGAACAGTTTTGATAAACACAAGGTACATAAAAATTTGCTGAAGAAAGGCTACATGACTTGTGATCAATTTAGATGTGATCTATTTGCACATCTAAATGACAGATCTCTCATCATATGTACAATTTGGGATTCTCAAGTACTCAGCCAAAAAAAGAAACAGTTCTAACTCAACTAGTTTTTATAATAGTACTATTAGCCATGTAAAGTTACCAGAAAATCTTTAAGCTAAGAAAAGAGAACAGCTAGTGATGCTAAAACATTACATCCAAAGACTATAAATAAGCCTGAATGCCTGGCAGGATGTATGAGAACTTGGAGAGCTTCAATTTTTCTGAATGTTCAACTCACTATACTTTTTTTTACTACAGGAACTTTTGAAACGTTTGGGCCTGCAAAGATGAATGAATGGTAATAAAATAACTAACAAATGACAGGGAGAAAGAGTTACCTTGTAGGTAACTTCTAAGAGGGCATAACAGGGCGTGTTTGTATCCACATCCACAGGCACTAAAAGCCTTGGTTCTGCAGCCAGTACATAAAGGTGTCGGAGAGCCTGGAGATGATACCTGTACACAGAAAACACAAAGAGCAGGTAACAACAGGTAATAAGAGCATATGCTCCATAACTTGTTGCTGCCTACAGGTTTACAAAAAGAAAGAAGCTAGAGTAGGATCTTCATATGAAAATCATATAATCCTTGACCCAAGAATTTTTTTTACCTGAATTTTCAGAGTTTAAGGGTTTTATAAGAAAGTAAAAATTATCTTAACATGAAAACAATTTCTAATGAATTGACCACTAATAAAATCATTCCCTCTCAAATATCCTTTCTGCTCAACACAGGCATCTCTTTTTACTTTCTCAGGGATTTATTTCTCGTTTTGTTTTCCCTTTCTTAAAGAATGGCAGGAAAGAAAGCAGGATGCCAGCTTTCTTCGGATAGCAAAGCTCTTCTACATATTAAAACATGCACATAAATAAGCACATGCACCCTTTAAATATGTAGTATACAACTAGGTGCTGGTGGGTTCACACCTCCTAGTTACTTGGGAGACTGAGATCAGGAGGATTACCATTTGAAAGGCCAGTCCAGGAAAATAGTTTGGGAGACCCCCATCTCCAAAACAACCAGAGCAAAATGGATTGGAGGTGGGGCTCAAGAAGTAGAGTGCCTGCTTTGCAAACATGAAGACAAGTTCAAACCCCAGTTCCACCAAAAATCAAAAAAACACAAAAATTGAGGGGTAAGATAATGATAATACGTATGTATACTTTTGAGCTTTCAAAAAATTTCCTTTAAACTTTAAAATTTATATTTTAGAATGTAAACAAAAATTTTTATATCCTACAAAAGGATGAAATAAGACTTCAATTTAAAAAAACTGCAGTTATGAAAAATAGCCTTCCCTGTTCCCACCTAAATCTACTCACTTTCATAAATCTATTAATAATAAAAATCAATATGGAGGTGTGGCTCAAGTGGTAGAGTGCCTGCTTTGCAAGAGTGACACCCTGAGTTTAAATCCAAGTCTTGTCAAAAAAAAAAAACAAAAAAAACCTGCCAGATGCTAGTGGCTCACGTTTATAATCCTAGCTGCTCGGGAGGCAAAGATCAGGCCAGCCCGGGCAAATAGTTCTCAAGACCCTACCTCGAAAATACCCTACATTAAAAAGGGGTGGTAGAGTGGCTCAAGTGGTAGAACATCTGCCTACCAAGTGTGCAGCCCTGAGTTCAAACTCTAGTACCACCACCACCAAAAAAGAATTAATAAAGGTTTAAAAAAAAAACCTGACTTTATAAATTGTATAAAGATCCTTTTTTTTTTTTTTGGCATTACTAAAGTTTGAACTCAGAGCCTTGCACTTGCTAGGCAGTTGCTCTACTACTTGGGCCACTCTGCCAATCCCATAAATTACATAAAGTTTCTTGATGCTTACCACTAAATTGCTAAACCAACTAATACCATAACCAGGAGTAACATGGGGGTAGCACTCCACTCATCACTCCCAATGACTGACTCTAACAATTCAAAAAGTCTTTCTAACTAATAAAGGCAAAGCCACAGCCAGATTTGTATAAATTAACAACAATGTCCTTATGTGCCTATCATCAGTTTGGATTTCAGATCAGGCTACTTTATAAAACAGCCATCTTTCTTCTGTTATCATTATATATGATACTACAGTTTAAAATCAAGACTTAGGTGACTACAAGTGCTCGTGATTCTTCTCCACTACACAGTGCATGCTCCTGACCCTTCTCTGGCAGACAACAGGGGTACCATCAGTTAAGCACAGTGATCATCTGAGATGTCACTTATAAGAAACTGTTTTCTTCCTTCACTCTATATATGAAAAAGATCTGCTCTATCACAAACTTCTAGGGAAAAGAAAGTACTAGTCATTCTTTGTGCTCTCAAACACAGAGCTTTTCTATTGCTTGACTGCCTCTCTATGATATGAGGGTCTTGCTCACTGCCACTCTTAAATTGTCCTTAATTTTTTGCTATACTTTGTTTTTCTTATCTCTTCTATATCACTTATACAAATTTCAGGATTCATGTAAAAGAATAAACTCATATAGATGTTGCCATTAAATCAAGATTAATTTTTCTGTTGGAATTAAATGTTTCTAGGAGAAAAAGTATCTTGTTCTTCCCTTGGTTATTTAATTCTGCTAGGTAGATTTATCCCTAAAGTTCACTGACCTACTTCAAGGTTCAGAGCAGGTCTACAGACCTGAGAATGGTAGAGACTGATCAGCATCAGATGGCTGAAGTTTTTTTCTGATCTACTACTTTGTAAGAGAAACTTTTTTTTTTTTTTTTTGGGAGGGGCGGGTTGTTTGAACTCAGGGCCTTGTGCTTGCTAGGCAGGTATTCTACCACTTGAGCCATGCCTTCAGCCTGAGAAACTTCTTAAAAGATTTAGCCAGGAAGAAAACTAAATTCAAGAACAAAACAATGCTAATTTGGAAAGAGGTCTGCAAAACCAAAACACAAGCAAATTATTCCCTTGCAGACCTGAGGAAATGCCACATGGAAGACAGAATCACTAGACTCACCTATTATCAGTGCTGTGAGCTGGGAAGTGTGGATAAAGGGCACAGAGAAGAGCAGCAATGGAAGAGTTTGATGTGCTCAAAGAGTACCTGCAGAATAAATTTGGTAGGGACAGCTGTTATTAAGTTTCCTGTGCATATATTTAAGGCATTCTTCACAGTCAGGAAAGTAGCATTCGTGGCAGGGCATACTGGTAAGATGCCTTGATTAAATACAAGTGTGCCAATGGTGTGAATGTTTTACTTTTCAGTTAATTCAGAAGCCATTATGAGATCATCTACAACAGCAGAAGCAACACCCTACAAATGGTAAAATTCGAACCTGAATAAGCAAGATTTTAACTTAAAACAGAATAGTAGTGAGGATCATGAAGCAATCCTAGAAATTATAACTAGTGAAAGTTATACATGAAGTATACCACCTTCTTCTTCTAGTTCCTTTTGAAAATACAGGGATTTTTTTTTTTCTGGGTATCAAACTTTTTTTGTTTCTGTAAAGCATGAATATTCCTTTAAAATGATGGACTAAAAGAAAAGGCCAAAGTTATCATTTAAAAAATTACAGTGAATGTACAAAACTATTCTTCAAATAGAAATAATTTTTCTTATCTGATAAACTTTTTCTATGGCGGTCATATTTTCTTAGTAAGGATCTTTTAGTATAGCAAACAGTTAAATCACACTGAAGTTTTTCTTACAAATATTTTGAAATAAAGATGGTACAAGACATCACATAAAACCACCTTTGTAGCTATTAAGCATAAATACACTTTTTTTACACACACATATATACACACACATATACCCAACTCTCCTTCCCTGCCTTTTCAAATAAATAGAACATTAAATAAGAACTTAGCATTGATATACATACTCATATAGTTAATGAATTAAGAAGAGATTTCAAAATTTCAGCAAAGAAATATATTTACTCTAGCATGCCCATAGCCCATTTTCTCCATAATATTTTGGTAAGCCAAAATTCAAATCTGAAGTAAGATAATAATGTTAGAAACTCAGGGTTTAGGCATAGTGATGTAGGCTATCCAAGTTCAAATGTCATTACAGAGTACTTGTAACTATTAAAAACCAAAATCACTAAAAAAGCAGTACCAGAGAAAAAGCTATTCCATATGAAAAAAAAGTAAGTAGAATCACAGTATGGAATGATGAAAGATGGGATTAAGAGCATAAAGAAAATATACAGGCTTATTTTGGAAGGAGAAAACTTCACAAAACACCTTAAGAAAAAAATGCACCATTTCCTTATAATCTTCATTTCTATACTTCTAGAAAGGTTAATTTCCAATGATTAGCTCAATCTTAAAGAAAAAGGGAAAATAAGCCTAAAAGTCTTATTGAAAATGTAGCAGTTGGTCAGTCACATAGACCAGAGCTAAATAAGTAAAAGTATTTTCTACAGTCACAGACTGTAAGACTTAATAGTGTTAACACACTTCAATTCCTCTCAAACTGATGTATAGAATCAATGTAATTCCAATCAATATTTTATCAGGTTAGTTAGTATGGAAACTGACAAATTCCAAGCTATATGAAAATGCAGAAAGCCAAGACAGAAAAACATTCTTTCAAAGAAGAAAACCCAGGTCACTTTTATAGCTCTCATTCATGAGATCTTTTTACTGAGAAAAAAATACAGATCCATTTACCTTCCTCCTCCCAAAAACAGAAGTCCAAGGGCCATGTGGTGGGCTAAGTGAAAACCATAGTTCATTTCACCACCTGTTTTCATGTGTAGGAAGCGACAAAGCTGCAACACCTTTAAGTTCCCAGAGCCAGCCATCACCATGGCAAGAGACAGCAGCACCACACTCAAGCAAGTTTCCAGGTTATAAGGACCTGTCTGGTAACATGGAAAATGATATCACTGCAACCATTGTCACATTTTAATACCAAAACTAAAGTGGCCACTGGTAGAAGAGAACTGGCATTTAACATTTTGGATTTCTTTTCTCTGAATATTTCCTGTACTTATTTTTTTCAAACAAAATTCAGATATTACTATATACAGTATTCTTAACCTTTCTAATAACTTAGTATATTACAAGCAATCTTCACACAAAAAAATTTTGTACAATATGGTTTCCCAGCTCCAATACATAAGAATGTATGGATATGCCATAATAAATTTACTTAACTACTTTGAGAATTTCTGATGTTTTTAAGTTTTCTATATTATAAATAATATTGCAAAAGTCTGTGTGGTTTTTACCAGGAAATAAAATATTGCCATCTTTCTGTCATCAGAGCAGCAATGACTCAAGAGCAACGGAATCTTTATTGAGTACTAATTCTTTTTCAAGGAGAAATGCCCATCATTCAGTTCTGAAGCAGAAAATAAAGTATGACCATCCATAAATGTCACAGACTACTTACTCTTAGCACAGAATCAGGTACCTGTAATCACATTCCTATCTAATTAATATCCCACAATAAAAATATAAAGACGAGCCAATGCTCCAAATCTCCCATTTAAATTCAAACAGCATGTGACAACACATAAGTAAGTGGATTCATCATTGAATTTTGACTTTTATTTTATTCCCAAAAATAATCACAAAAAGACTTACTACAGAAGCATTAGGAGCAGACAAGTAAGTCATAAAATCTTTTGCAAATTTATGCTAGAAAAAAAAGAAAAAATTCAAAGTTAAAAGAAGCATCTTAAGGCTTTGATTAAATAAATAACTAAATAAACAAATTAAAAGGAACAACTAAACCAAGATACTTCTTACCAAACAGTTAAATGCTGATAAGTTTTCTGAGCCAGCAAATCGAAAACCCAGAGACAAACAGGCTCCTGCAATTATGTAGACATGTGCTTGCCTGAAAACAGATCAGAAGACATTTAATACTGTCATTATTTTCCTTTAAAAATCATTATTATCTATTATCTTGGAATAAAAATAGTAGATGTCCCTGTTCTCTAAACTAGTTCATATCCTTCTGGGAACATTTAACTATGCCTCAACCAATCTAAAGATTTCCATGATCCTTACTGATGAAGTCTGCCTTTTGTTTCAAACAGTGCAAAAAAGGGACAATTTTAAAGAATTGTTAACAATGTTTTCAAAGGAAAGGAAAACAAAGAACCATGTACAAGTTAGGCATTTAGTATTGCTTTTGGAGGGAAAGAACTCTACGCTCAGCTTTATAATAAGCAAACAAAACATGTCAACCTTGTGAGCATCTGACAAAAAATTATCAGAAAAGAGGGGGATTCAGAATGATGCAAGTCAAGGACAACATACATCTGTATACTGTATTTCCATTTATTTTTACAACAGATACTAGGATAGCTAATTTGTGTCATATATTACATTACTTACGACAAAGTTTCCAAATTCAAATCCTCTGAGCAAGGCAATTCAATTTCACTCAGAGAAATACTATTTTCCCTTATAATCTGTAAGACAAAAAGCAAGAATACTTGAACATCAACATTCTAGGTATAAATATAAAAGTGTGAAAAATAACATACTGTGTGCAAGTTATGTTTACATAAAATAAGCTTAGGCAAACCATTTTGTTCAAAGACCTATATTTTAATGGCATTAAGTGATCATCATTCAAATCTAAAAAGGGGTAAATAAAGAGTGACTAAGTAAAGCTGGAGATGTAGCTCAGTGGTAAACACTTGCATAGCATAAGTAATACCATGAGTTTGATCCCCAGTACCAAAAATAATAAAATGAAAAAGAATAACTGAATAAGCCAGAACAAATACGAACAAAAGGACTTAAGAATACTCTGAATATAATAATAACATTTCATACTAGTTAACTGAAATATAAAGATGGTGGCTAAAGAACTGAGACAGGGGTGAGGAGAAGTAGGGAAAGGGGGAAAAGCAGCAACTGGAAGACTAATCAAAGACACTAGCTTCTTCATGAGATTTGTGTGGATTAAGCCTACTGACCTACAGAGGTGAGTTTAGTTCTGAGGCTAATTACTTGAACAAAACTAAGCAATCAATATGCTAATCTGTAACTACTGCTTAGAAAAGACATCCTTTTCCTTTTAGTAAGGTAGTGAACAAACAATTCATCAAAACTGTGTGCAGAGTATCTAGCTTTAACATCCAAGAACAGATTTGATCCTTTTCTCTTAAAAGAACGATAATAATAATAGCCCATACGAGTGGCTCATGCCTGTAATCCTAACTATCTGGGAGGTTGAGATCAGGAAGATCACAATTTGAGACCAGCCCTGGCAAACAATTCAGGAGACCCCCATCTCCAGAGCAAAATGGACTGGAGGCATGACTCAAGGGGTTGAGCTCCTGCTTTGCAAGTATGAAGCCCTGAATTCAAATCCTCGTCCCATCAAAAACAGTAAAATAAAAGAAAAAAGAAAAGCTATCTATTTTCTAAATGTATATATGTAAATACATGGAAGTGAAACATTGATGATTTCTTCTTTTAATTCCTTTAAGAATAGTAAAGGATGCTTTCTCCAAGAAAGCACCAAGTATCTAGAAGTCTCTAATTCTAATCTTCTTATGTACTGAATATATACAAACAGAAAACTTGCAATGTCTTTTCTCTTTGATGATCTCAGTGAGACTAGCAATTATGTTGACTGTACAATAAAGGCTGATAACTCCACTCATCTTCTTTCTTTCCTTTCCAGACTTTATTCTTAATTGACTGTTATTTACTCAGAAATTTAGTGACATTCTGAAGAACTCATATACTTCAAAGTGGGTGATTAATACATACACATTTAACCTGACTGTAATACTCATATGTTCTAGTGTTCACATCTGTGCACAACCACGCCTGGTACTAAGGAGTTTGCTTATTCTTAACTAATGTATTTGACTCATTTAATAAATATTCTTTTAAGTAATTAAAACAAATTATTGTATAGATGACCTAAAATCAACACAGATTAAAACAGCATCATAGATAAATGTTTAATTACAACAAAAATATTTTTTTAAAAAACATTTAGAGTACTTTGGTACACTTAATTTTTAAAAACTGTAATGTTCTAGGGATGTGAAGCCAAAAGGGAAGGCTGAGTGTGTAATCAGTACATAATTTTAAAATGAAATTATCTGTCTTCAAGAGACAGCTAGATAGATCTATACTGCCTTTACAAGAAAAAAAAAGTCTGTAGAATTTTGGAAAATCCTGCAAGAAATCAAAATATTATGCTATTAAACATATAATATCTATTATTTGTACTTACTTGAGGAACATTGCTGTCAACCCACTTGGAATTTGGTAAAATATCGTCCCAAAGAATTAGGCATCGAGCAAGTGTCTTAAAAATACATTACAGAGAAAATTAATTAGAGTAGACAAATTCATGGATTTTGTAGCACTACAGAACAATTTAGGAGTCAGTTCTCAACTGACGACAATTCTGAAAAATATGTAAGTATCAACCTAAGCTACTCATTAAAATAAAGACCTTAACAACAACAACAACAAAAAAACCCTAAAACTGAGTTGATCATCAAACTTTAGAACTGGAGAAGGCTTTCAACTTGTTCTATAAAAGAAAACACCCCCCACCACAAAAACAAATAAATACAAAAAGAAAAATCACAAAGGAAAGAATAATAGCTCTGTCCGCACATCATAATTTAAAGATTTCCATGTGGTAAGTTTAAGCACCAAAAAAAGGTCAAAGGAAAAAGTTTAGGTAATTGTCAAATTATTATTATCATTACATCCATATAAGCATTACTAACATCCTTAACTATAATGAAAAAAGTAACATAGAACAGTTAATAAAGTTTTGGTCATGTGCTGTTTTTTAGGAAGTTTAAGATGATAATGTGGTCACTTTTTCAAAGATTCCTAAAGTTACATTTGGCAAATTTCAAAAGAATACGACCAATCAGATACACATGATGAATAAAAAGTAAAATTTTCTCTAGGCATATATACTTGCAAGTTAAATCTGAGAACTACAAAAAGACTCCCCTCATGCTAACAGAAACAAACAATAGCAAAGCACATACCCTAAGCAAGAGAAATTCTGGTTTCACGAAGTCCAACAAATACATGGTATCAGGAGCTCGGAGCCAATCTGCAATGGATCTGTGAGTGGAGGTGTCAGTGAGGGTTACTGCTCAGGAGAGGGCAAGTAAATCAAGAATCTCAAGACTGGTTTCAAATCATTTCTCCCCACTCCACAAATGATCTACTTTACTCCATAATGCTTTACAGTAACATAGTATTTATTATGTATATTTTATGTCTCATAGGCTCCATGAGAGCAGGTAATTCTAGTTTTGTTTTGGTCAATGAATTACCCACAAGTGGCAAGAGGCACTGATGTATACATTCATCTAAATAATAGACGAGTAAATGTTTTTTACTACTCTGCTAATTCAGTACATATTCCATTTTTCAAAGACAGGAATTTAGAACACTCAAAATTTCAAAAATCTTAAAAAGAGTTCTTTTCTTTAAGTTAACAGACTTAAAACATGATATAATTCTTCTACACAATTTATCCTTCTGGGCCAAGTGTAATAATAAATGCCAAAGGCCTACTTTTGATAATTACAGGAAAGTAGAATGTAGAAGGTTTGGTCATCAGGAAAGCTTTTGAACTAAGCAGAAACCACTTTTAAAGTGTTAACCAAGAATAAAATAATAGTAAGCATTTCTGGTTTGACCAAATTCTCACAGATACCCAAAATGAATGAAAAAGAATGTGGGCACTGTTTAGCTGTCAGTGACATCATCTACAAAACAGATATAGAAATTGGCTATTACTGTTACCCTCCACATCCTTAGGCTCCATCTCACTGAGATTGAGTGGGGAAACAACATCTGTATTGAACATATGCAGTCTTTTTTTCTTATTATTCCCTAAGCAATGCAGTAAAACAGCCATTTACACAGCATTTACATCGCATTATATATCTTAAGTCATCTAGGGATGGCCAGAGTACACGCAAAGATGTGCGTATGTCCTATGCAAATATCATGCCATCTTATATAAGGGATCTGTGTATTTGTGGATTTTGCTGTCTATGGAGGTCCAGGAACCAATCCCCTTGTAGATACAGATGGACAACTGTAAACTGTTAAATGTCACTAATATAACAAATGTATTCTATCTAGATAAAACCTGTAGAACTTACAACATTTGGGAGAATGGATACTAGGTTGCTCCAGCAAGGGCAGATAAACATATAAGACAATTTCACTACTCAGGTCAGAAAGAATATCACACAGTCATGGTGAGGGTGCTAATACCTGTTGTTGGTTTTTAAGTAGATCATAGCCAAAGCTAGAATAGCACCTGGACAAGTCACATCCACATTTATGGTATCTCCTTCCTATTAAAAGAAAAGATGTTCATGTAAAAGAGTTCTGAATTATCACAAAATTTTTCTAAATACTAGCCTAGGCTTAAAATTAGCATATTCACATGTCTGTATTGAAAGCTACTATTTTCAAAATAACTTCTTAGCTTTTCGTACTTTCTCTGTGTTACTCTGATTTGGACTTACTTTGATTTGATAACTTGGGGATTTATGTTTCTCCCTGTGCATTCCAGCTTGAAAGCGCCTATGACCTCCAACCATGTACTGATACAGCTGCTCAGGCACATTGAGATCAGACATGCCTATCAAATTACTACCATGCTAGAAAACAAAATAACAGACATGAGAAGAAATCTTCTGGAAGAAAACCTTGACACATACCCATAACAAATAAAGGAATGAACTAACTTCAGCACAGGGTATTTTAGTTTTTGATTTATTTTCTTTCCAATTAAAATGGTCACAAGTTAATATTCAACTATTAATGATAATTCTAATAAAAGTTATATGTATGGTGAAGTTTAAGTACTTTCACTTCATAAAACAGATGAAAGCTTTAAAAAAAAAAAAACAGATAATTAAACTACAGTAAAGGAAAAGTCCAACTGTGTGACTGAAACCTGAACTGTGAACACCTGGTACTTTCTGTACTGCGCCTGTAAACTTTCAACCAACAGCGACTATAATAATGACAATAACATAATGATCAATGAATGCTTGCTGGGTGCCAGACACTAATGGTGTGAACTGACTTTATTCAACAAACCCCTCAAATAGCTACTAGCATGAATGTCATTTTACAGATGAGGACTGCGAGGCGCAAAAGGATTAAGCTCAAGTTAACCTAATTATGATACGCAGGGTGAGATGTAAAAACAAGTTCTACACAATAGTTTATGGGGCTAATAGAAAATAACGTAGTTAAATGACCTACTTATTCATCAGGACCAGAACAAGTCCTAATTTCCAATATGATGCCTTTCCATTTTACCACCTGCCTCTTGCTCATATGACAGATGTGAAATCAAAACCCAATGGATAGCCAAACATGGGGTAGATTTCCAGAATGCACATAAGAAAAAAATTCATTCCATTGTATCTTTCTTTATACTATTTAGCTTGACCATAACACTGTACTGGTGGTTCTTCTAGGGAACTACATTTCAAGTGAAATTATCATTTAACAAAATGTTTTTGATAATTCTGTACACATCTCTACAAGAGAATTAAGGTTTGGCCAACCTGATACTGCACATAGTCACAAAGCAAATGCTACTGTGGCAACATTCTGGGATATGTAGCAAACATCCAGATGGAAAAAGAGGGTTATAGTTTATTTGTAACAATCACTGCAAACTTTAAAGCTCCACATCATGTGTGTTTTCACTATTTTCTGTATTCTACTGGAGTGAGTGATCCCTTCTTCATCTTAGACTTTGAACTTTCTTCAAGAAACTTCATTCCATTATGCATTCATGAACACTTACACTGAAGCCACATGAAACAAATTTTAAAGCCACACTCATCACTATAATTTCTTTCCAATTCACAAATTTGTTAGTTTGAAAAATATCCAGAAGAAGCAGGGCTGGGCATCACGTTAAATCACAATCGGGCAGAGTGGCATTCTTAGTTAAGTATCAAGGTTATTCATCTCAACATACAAATGTCCTAAGTGAAGCATGAGGGCACAGACTCTTGCTTACCCCCAAGCAAACCATGCCCAGGGCCAGGCCAGCAGCTAACGAGTATGACTCTCTGTCAGTACAATACTCCATTTCAGGACCAGGGGGCCGCCCTGTGGAGGAGAAAGCAATGCAGGTCAAGCCAGCCTCTTTAGATCCCAACTTGTAAAACTTTTTAGTCAATGTTCAGGATACATAAGACATCTGGACTCAATACGACCACACTCAAAAGTTATGCCACCTTCACAAATTATGGTATCTGAACTGTTTACTACAAGAAAAGCTCCCGAATGGGTCTTTAATTTATCAGTTTAAGCACTTATCAGCAGTGACTTTCAGATACTATGAAAATTTGGATTTTACCAAAAAAAATTACCAAGAAGTAGGCATATATTTTTAAAGTGACAAGTACTTTAAAAATTTGCATTTTTTACTAAAAATATAATTTCTAATGTCTTGAATTTTGTTATGTTATTTTCAAATTCATTCACCAGATGTGATAAAAAAAAAATTTCCAAATACTAATTATGGGTAAAAAGAACACTTAATTTGTGCTTTTAAGTTGATTTCAGACTTTCATTTTAAATCTATATACTACTTGGCCCTCCTAAGGTAAAATTTCTGTGTACTGATCCTAAAAGTTTGGCTAGACACAAAACTTTTAAGAGCATTCCATAATTCTAACTCTATCCTTCAGGGAAGCAAAATTATTATGTATAAAGATCCCCTTCCCTAAAGTACTGGCCTAGCAAGCACAAGGCCCTGAGTTCAAACCCCAGTAACAACAACAACAATAAAAAAAGCTCACAATACTAGAATTTTATCCTCAGGGGAAACATGCTATTAAAAACAAAAAAAAAAAAATTACATAAAGGTAATCAGTATAGTACTTATGCATAATAGCAAATTAGGCACAAACCTAGAAAATCTGAAATCACAAGACAACTAGGGTATTTAAAAAAAACAAAACAACAACAAAAAAAAAAAACACCTACTTTTCCAATATAAAAATTAACTTCTTTTAAAAAAAAATTTAAGACAGGGATATGTATCCAGGCGCCTTAAACTTGCAAGCTGCCGACTCAGCCCTCCCAAGGGCTGGGATTAAGGAAGGCCCTACCATGTCCAGCCTCTAAAATTAATATTAAAGGCCATTGTGGTCAATAATGTATTTTTTTAAAAGGCAGCAATCAAAAGGTGCCATGCATATTCTGATGATAATTACATAAAAGAGAACATACACATGTGAATCAAAGATGAAATTTGATGAGAACCCATTGAAGTCAGTACACTGTGGCTATGAAGATGTATTGACACCATAGATTATGACGTATGACTTTAGCCACCGGAATGTCTAATTACCTTGTAGCATGAGCAAGCTTTAAATAACCAGTTGCGGATACTCTGAGTATTTTTCAGAGTCAAACGGTTAAGCTGTTATGTATTGGTAATAGGTATTGTTTCAGTTTTACCCAATAATTTCTTTTTATTCATTACAGTAGATCAAGTTGTTCTGGCCCAATCCTTCACTGCTCTACAATGC